TGGCTGTGACCCTTTCATATAGAATATCGTAAATATTTCGTATAGTCCTCAGATATAATCCTTTACATATATCAAGATTCTCTGTGTAGAGTAATTTATTAATCTTTATCACTAAAACAGAAAGAACATTACTATATAAAAACCAGTCTAGAAATGCAAAGGAAAAAACACGAACACTTTTACATTTACTTCAGGAATAGGTAAAAAAAAACATAATGGGCAATTGAAATAACGACAGGATATGTATGCTTTTTTATGCGTTTTTTTAAGGTAAAATAGCTTCCTTGGCGCTGTTTTGCTGGAGCTAATAAAATAGCAATTTATATAGAGTTTTGCTATTTTGCCGGTCTTAATTTATATTTTTCAGTATATTAATTACGAATAGAAAGAAATGTAGAGACAAACATTTTAACATGTTAATAAGAAATCTCTAAAACAAATATGTCTTCTTTAAATAAAAAAAAACAACGTATACACAAGCAAAGCATGCATACTAAAATTGATATTCCAATAAAAAATATTCCAATAAGTTTTGAAATAAAAATGTATTTTACATACAAAAAGTATATCTTTTTTTTAAATATAATATTTATGCAAAGCATGAATAAACAAAATATATTCTAATTAAAAATTATAATAAAAGTATTCCATAAGCTTTGAAATTAAAAGTAAAACTCAACATTTGCATATTTAGTTAGATATAAGCCATCAAAATGATTTACAACTGTTACAAAACCATGCAGTGCCTTGCTTTTGGTGCATTTTTCAGTCTCAGTCTTGCCGTAACAAGAAAAATGCTGCCACCGCAGACATGAACTGCACATAACACTATGTCTTGTTGGATAGGGTTTTCAGAATAGTTTGTTTTATGATTTGTTGTTTAGAGAGAATAACACAATCATGTTTTGAATTTCGAAGCAAAAAGATAAGACAAAGAGGCAAAGAATAATCTACATAACACAACACAGAAGAATATAGATTGAGCAACACGAACCCCAAATAAAAAACTAGGTAGCATCTGTATTTTGGTGACTTTTTTATATTCATTATCATAACTGAAAAATAGATAACTATTATCAAAACTAGCTTTTTTTTTAATATTTGATAAAAAAGCAGGATTAGGCATTACTAGTTAGCCCCACGAAATAATAGAGGTAGATTCCAGCTGCTCCTGCTCATGAAAACTTACGGAACTCATCGTACGCTTCATGACAAAAAGAGGGAAAACCCAACAGCTAACGTGGTTAACAGTATACATTTTGATTGTATGGCATTGATATCGATTAGATGTATTTTCCCCCTTTTTTCCCCATTTTATTCGAACTTTAGTGGGCCTCGATTGTCAAATACAAACGACAATATTCTAGCATATATAATCTGAGCAGCCATCATAGTACAAGCTAATGCTAACAGATAACCTACATAAGTACAACGATAGTACTTAGATAGTGACAGACTATCTGTTTTCTGGGGGCTCCATTGAATCAGAGACACATAATACATTGCATTATATGTCTCTGATTGAATTTCTTTTGTAGTCTTGGGAAAGGAAACTAAGGTTACGTATTATAATGCTGGTATGTCAATTCGTCCCAAGGATTGTCGTTCAATGCTAATATTATTGATTTTTCTTATCAACTTGACTACCGTTATCATTTTGACCATACTTTATTCAATTAAGCACACACAAATAATGCGAAGGGACTGTAGAAGATTTAATAAAAAAAATATGAATTTTGTCCAATTATGTCTGCAGGCAAAATTATTTAAAGATTTTGTAAATTTCAAACGACCTAATTCCATAAAAGATTGTGATTTTCAAGGTTTATAAACACTAATTGTTTTAGCAATTTTTTGCAGGAATTAAATTTTTTTTTTTCGGACCAAGTTTAAAAAATAAGATGTGTTATCTGAGAGTGCCAGAGAGTTCTACTTGTTCAAACATTTTAACCATTAATTTACATGAAGACTATAATAATATTATAATGACGTTTCAGATTTACTTTAAAATAGTTTTGGACTACGCTTTTGAACAGTCATTGATATTCCTATTGGAAATATGTTCAAACACATGGACCCCTACCCTTTCAATGGTGTAAATATAAGAAAAATTAAAGAGATATGACCATTTTGGGATTACCAAGGCGTACCCCCTTAAAAGGACATTAACTCAAAAATAGGTTGTCAGATTTTTCTGTAAAATTGCAAAGGAGATAGATGCTGTTGGGTCATTTTTAATTTGTAATTTTTATCTCTAATTGTTTAAGCTTGATACATATAAGCCAAAAGCTGTTAAATTTTCAAAACAAGAGGCCCCTAAGAGCCTGTTTCGATTACCTAGGTCTCAATGTGCACATTCAACAAAGGACACTCTCCAGCATTGTAGACGAGAATAGACTTCATGACAAAAATCTCTTTTTTGTTTATTTTGTATTGCTGATCATTTTGTCTGTTTAGTTTCATTCTATCTTCTTTAATTTTTTCTTAAAACACAAAAGAGGTTAAAAAAAATCCTCATTTAAGGGCGATCACTCCTATAAAGAGTGACAGTGTACTAACTATATCAGCAAAATTTTACATGTTTTTAGATCTTGCCTTGCTGATAATTTTTTTGCTATAAAAGTATTTAAAGTTTCCATTTATCTTTTTATTTTGATATTTATCATATAAGACAAAAATGGAAAAAATGGTAGAAATAGTCATTAAAAGTGAATAACTCCACTTATACTCCAATAAGGAGTCATCGGACGATTTCCTCCATACTGTCAATTGTAGATCTTGTCTTGCTGTTTATATTTGTTTATTTAAGTCTATATATGTATCTGTTATAATTTTTAAGATATAAGGCATAAAAAAAAAAAAAAAAATAGTAAAAATCGTCATCAAAGGGCAATAACTCTTATATGAGTTGACTGATGATTTCGGCAATGATGACTAATTTGTAGATCTTGACTTGCTGACTTGCTGATTAATTTTGCAGTGTAAAGTTTCTCTGTATCTATTTTAGTTTTCCAGATAATTGGCAAAAATGAATAATATGGTAAAATTTGTCATTTAAGGGCAATAACTCCTATTAAAATTCACCTGACAGTTTTGACTTAAATGGACAAGTAGTAGAGCTCAACAGTCGGAACATTTCTGCCCTGTCAGATTTTCATTATTTATAACGGTTTTCAAAATTGTAGACAAAACTTGCATTTTTCAGAGAAGATTTTTGTTAAAGTTAACCAACAACAACAATGGACGAATGACGCCAAGTGAAGAGAAAAACTCAATTGGTGAGCTAAAAATGACATTTGAATGGTAATCACTCCAAAATAGGTTGTACGATTTGTCCATGGGAGATAGACATTGACCTACTGATCAGTTTTACCCTGTCATATTAACTGCATTTACCCCAATGTTCTATTTTTGGTAACAGATGCAATGTTTGTTGATGGATCAAATCCCCAGATATACTAGTAATAAATTTAGACAAGACTTGGTAACATTTTACCCAGTAGTTTGAAAGGAGAAGGTTTATCTACAAGTTAATGACAACAGATTGACGGAGGACTACAAAGGACATTAATTGATGACAAAAGCTCATATGGACTTTTTAACAAGGTGAGGAAAAAATAGGTTCTCTGTTACTCATCTGGAAACCAAAAGAGTGACGGACAGACATGAGATTCTGATATACCTCCGACTCTGTTGAGAATGTGTATAAAAATAGTTTTTCTTTCCTGAATCCTTGATCCAATTTGACAAAAATGTAGAATTGGTGTTTAACGTCCAGTGGCAAATATTGCATGCATATGATGACATAAACATGTGAATTTGAAAATGAAACCTGCTTTGTACTAAACGGATATGATGAACTGGATTCTACCCATGATAGATCTCAAGGTAATGTCCCTTGTTGATGCCTTATATGTTCAAGAACATGAAGAGGATTAAGTAAGTAAGTGAGTTTGATAAAGATATGTCATGTAGCCCGACACTTATCATTCTGCTTCGGAACCAAACAGTCCATGCTATTTCTCTTAAATGTCATGTATAGCCAGGAAGCAGCAAATAACAATTCTGCACTCTTAAGTTTGAAATGGCACTGAATCAAATCAATGACATCCTTCACTCAAGGCGAACACATTACAACTAGACTTTAAAGGTGGACATCATTTGAGAAACATCTGGACAAAACAAGGTTACTTTCAATGATAACATGAAAATATCTGTGTCCCTCCGCAAAAAGATATTGACATTTCATTTATTTTATCAACAACAATCCAACCCCTCAATGATTTTATTAAAAACAAAATAAACAACTTATACAAAATTAAATAGAGATCAAATTTGAAATGAAGGCAAAACCAAGGTGCATGTTGAATGTCAAATGTACTGACATACAGATGGATAATAATAAAATATTTTTATTCCACCGCTGTAGGTAACAGGGGAATTAAGTTTCTCTAATTTTTGTGCTATATCGCTTGATCGGTGTGAGAAAAATATTTCTCCTCTCTAGTGAAATATCTGTTCTCGGCAAATGATTGGTCGAAATTTAATTATGACATAGAATTTTCTTTGTTTCTTCTGAATTTTCCTATTGTAACGTCATGAAAAAAGGCGACCATGCCTGATGACGTCACATATAAAGAACAAACTTTCTGCAAGTCTTTGAAAAGGAAGGATAAAAATCATTAGAGAAATAGATTCTAACACTATTACTCGTGTATTAAGATATTTCTCCACTCTCAACAAGAACACTTGTTGCAGTGGTGAAATCTAAATGTAACCCTTGAGGGTCCCTCCTTCCATCTTTCCATCCTTATATTTTTATGCCCCTGCTGTAGGGGACGATGGCATTAAGTGTTACCCTTGATCGTCCGTCCTTCCATCTTTCCGTCCCATTTTCGTTTGTTTGAAGCTTGAGCAGGGGCATATGTGTCCTCAGACACATTCAATTTTTATTTGCAACTTAATTGCATTGTAAATTACATAAATAAAGACATCCATCATTATGTTTGTAGAAAATTTATTAGTGATTTACAAAAATATATGATTTAGTGAATAAATAATCATGTAAATACAAGTTGCATAATTCAGTAAATAGAACATGATAAACAGTTGTTAATGTAAAAATAGTTTTCAAATTTAACTCTGGTCAACAAAAGAGTCATATAAAATACACTTTACTGAAGTATAATAATTTAATTCTGTCAGCAAAAAAATATTTGGTTCATTTATAAAAACAAAAAAAGTGAAGAGTAAGTGCTGCTATGCAGACACTATAAATTCACCAAAAAATAAACATCACCCATAGTTAAGTCTGATTCTCTTCATATCAAAAACAATTTTTGCCATTTTTTTTCAAATATGATATTTCTATCCAAACTATAAAACTTCTTTGGCTTTGAAATCTTTTATTTGTGAGTAAAGGTGGTAAAAGCTCTTCCAATGCAACAAAACTGGAATATTCAATTTGAACTTATTTAAGAGATTTCGTGAATATAGTAATTATCATAACATATCATTTATTAAGAAAACAACGAGTTTGACCACAATGTATATGCTATCATATAATTTTAAAATAAGATCAGAATAATTTCATTTAAACATATATATCATTCAATTTTGAAAATCATAATATTCAGGACAGGCAAACTAAAAATTAAAATTTTTATCATAAGCAATCATTGTAGCATGTGTAACAACATACTTTAAGCATTAATACTCTGACATGTTCTTTCACTGAATCCCTCTGATGCATTTTCAAGAAGTAATCTCTGCGTTTATCTTTAATCTTAAAATTAACACATAAAAAATAAAAATATTGGAATTGTAAATTGAAAGAAAGAAAATCGTCATCTGAAAATAAGCATACTTATTAAAGCTAGTGGAATTATATTTATCAAGAAAAGTCATATTGAGCATTTAAAAAAGATAACAGAAAGCTAGTTCACATGTGAAGTGCCTTTACAAGAGGTAATACAAACTGATGTAAGAACATCGTTGCTGGAGACAGAAAATTTAATGGGACTTTATCAAATTTATTTATATCACACAAATATGTCTTTAAAAAAACAAACAAAAAACAGCAATTTGATAGATTATGAGGCATTTTATACATGTATGATGATATATAAATATATTCACTTGCAAAATACTTCTAGTTTCATCTGTTACTGAAAAATTTTATGATTTTCAGTGAATATATTGCTTGAATGTAACGAATATTTCATTCTGGATTTTAATTGATCCATTTTACAACCCATCATTCCTTTCATTGCTTATCGACTATAAAATATACAATTAATTAAATTTATTGCAATTAGTGGTATAGTTTCAAAATTCTGCAACACTATATATGCCATATACTATGGTAAATTTTCAAAACTTTATTACAATTAATTTCAGGAATTTTTTTTATGAAATTTTCCCCTTAAAAACAATTATCTATATCATCTTGAAATTATATAAACATGTATATGAGAAAATGTTGGTACTACTGACAGTTCTTTAAAAAAAAATCCAAAAGTGTATATAATTTAAAAAAAAAAAAATTACAAAAAGTAAAAAGATTTTTCCTACTTTACTTTGTACAGAAAATCACGATATAATGGGTTAAAGTTAACAGAAATCTAACATAGAAGTGAAGTGAACAATGTGTTCATAAATTAAAAGTAAAATGTAACATCCAATGAATGAAAAGAAATTATCCTTTTGCATACACTAAATTGAGTATGTTAGTAAAACTTGATAAATAACTGCCCACAAACTTTGGATTGTAAAAAAAATCATTGACAAATAATGTTAAATAAATTCTTTATCACATACCCATCAATTTAGTATAAAACAGAATTGTACCAGTAAAATATAGATATATATGATTCTGATAATACACATCAACAGATTAGAAAAATATATAATTCATTGTAAATATATCAAAAAAACTATTTGCAGATAAGTTATTCATATAATATATATATGTAAGCACATAATTAACATCTAAATAAACAATTTATACAGAAAAAACAATAACAATTAACAATGATGTTTATAAAAATTTGCATATCACTAAACAAGGAAATGAAAGTAAAAATTGCATATAAGTTTCTAGGATAAATAATATATTATGTATGTATTTTTAAATGTAAATTTTGATTACGTACATGGAATGTTTCAGATAGAATTTGTGTATTTTGATTGATTTTAGTTGTTTAAGGATCAAAGGAAAATGTGTACTCACAATGATCCTACTGTAACAGAGAAGGGTCTTGACTGAGGAGGCAAAAATATTGTGCTACCTTTTTTTTATTAGAAAAAAAAATCTTATTTATATATAATTACCCCCTTTTTAAATTAAGGTTAAAAACTGAATAAAGATTGTTCAAACATTGGTTGTTTACAATGTATAGAACCAAAGCTATTTAAGATACATTTACTACTAGAGATCAGCAACTTTAATTTAATGGCCATATAATAAATCAGAATACCATACAGCTTTCTCAATAATTTTAACTTTTTTTTATATACAGACATATTTTTTTCTTTTACCTTGTTCTCATCTTTAAAAGATTTGAGAAAATTATCTTTCAAAATAAGGATTTTATGAACAATGAATGTCAAAAATTTACATCAATGTATTGAAAATTCGTAAGGTTTCCGCGGAACCCAGTGTCTCGCCTACTTTTGTTGTTAGTCGCAGGCTCAACAAAAATGAGGAAATAATTATTAAAAATTTTCCTCTAGATACTATTTTTTGATTGTAAGAAAATTATATCCAAGTTTGGTAAAAATCCAGGATGGTTTATGAATCTAATAAAAGTTTTAAAAACTTTAACTGCAGACTGTATGTAATGTTAACTGAAGAAAAACTAAGTCCATTTATAAGTTATATACGAAAAAACAGGAAATAAATTTTAACAAAATTTCCTTCTAGATACTAGCTTTTGATCATAAACAAGCTTCTGTCCAAGTTTGGTAGAAATCCAGGATAGTTTAAGAAAGTTATTAAAATTTCAAAAACTTTAACCAGAGTGAATATTTGTTGACACTGCCGCCGACGGAATGTAGGATCGCTATGTCTCGCTTTTGCGACAAAAGTCACAGGCTCAACAAAAATTCAATAAATTAACAAAAAGAAAGGTGGTGTTGGTATGGTTGATATTCCTTTTTTTATCTTCTTATGTACAAATATAACGTTATAAAACATACAAATGCAGAACTGTAAAGATTTCATAGGTTATTGCAGGCATTTCAAAATATTTTTGTGATCATTTTAGAAAACAAGATTTGAATTCTTACAATGACATTTTCAATGAAATAATGAGAGCCACGTTATATCACAAGATTTTTGCCTAGATGCCAATCTCTTGTATTACATGCTTCTGACGATCTGACATACATATTTAGAAGATGGTAATTTCAGACAAGCTTTTTCCAAACTAACTATTGTTTAGGATAATGATAGTTAATTACATAATACTCTATAATGGTTTGAAAATTTGCCATAAATGATTCAGTCTAAACATGTAAAAGTGGAATGTTACTACAGATGATTTATTGTCTTTCATGGGATACTAATTTTTGTGTATATTTTTATCAACATAACCAGTAAATCAAGAATTCATGAACATACAGTTTTTTTTCTCAATCCATAAAAATTTGAACCCAGGAAAACAAATGAATCCACAGTATACAAGACATATAAAACAACAAAGTTTTTATCATAATAAAACAGATTTCTGAACAAATACAACCTACATTACTAAATTGCATAGATATATTATAATATCACAATTATTTTGGATTTTTGTAGAGATCACTTTATAATTCAGTCTTTGGTTGTCCACTTGCAAAATTCTGGTAAAGCTCTGGTTCAGGTTCTACAAGAAAAAGTTACATGAACTATTGAACTTTACTACTATTATATCAACTATTGAACTTTGCTAATAAAAGATAACAGGAGAGCATATACTGAAATGTTTTGCTTATTTTACTATCCATGATTGATTTAATGTTGATATCTGTTGAGATAAAGTTTTACTCCAAGTATCACATAAACTTAACTCATCAATGATCCATTAAAATGAGGTCAAGGTCAGAAACACGAAACCTGACAGATCAGACATGTACACCTCACAATCATTTCGTACACCTAATATAGTAGACCTATTGCTTATAGTATACAAGAAACAGACCAAACATAAAAAAACTTAATATTGACCACTAAACAATGAGAATGAGGTCAAGGTCAGATGATAACTGCCAGACAGACATGGACACCTTATAATCATTCCATAAGCCAAGTATAGTCGACCTTTTGCTTATAGTATTTAATAGAAACACAGACCAAAATACAAAAAAGTTGATATTGACCAATGAAACGTACTCATAAAGCATAACAAATGTTTGACAACTACACATATTCATCAAAACCTCTAATACAGCTGATATTTCTGTTATTCATAATACAAATGAAAATAAAACTAAGGAGATGTGGTATGATTGCCAATGAGACAACTATCCACCAAAGTTCAAATAAAGTGGATGTTAGCAATTAAAGGCAACCATGCCACCTTCAACAATGAGAACACACATACACTATAGTCGGCCATAAAAGGCCCTGACATGAAAAATATGAATCAATTCAATTGGAAAGCCTAACTTCACCTAGCCTGAAAGTTTTGTTACTGCTAATGATAAAACATACCAAAAGCTTCGTTGCTGTAGATATTATGATCCTGATCATTGTCAACATTGCCGTAAAGACCATCTCCGTCCTCTAATTCCTTCTGTCTTTTCTTCTCTAGGATATCTTTGATACAATCATGGATAAAGATGTACTGTTGCTGTAAGTTAAAGAACAACAGAATATTAATAAGTCATCCCTTCAAAAGATTTACGGTACTCGTCAGGAGTTGGTTTTGCATAATAAAATATCTATGTCACATGTTCCAGACAGACTTTTCATGAAGACTTTTGATTTGATTTGATTTTATGTATTTTAAAGCCACTTTTAAGCACAACTTTTGGGCTATTTCATGATTTTAATGCTGGAGGAAGCCGCAGTGTCTAGAGAAAACCACTGACCTTTGATAGGAAAACTGATAATCCTAGTCAATTAAGATTGGAGTCAAATGCACCCGCATTAGTGGGGTTCAAACTCACAACCTCAGTGTTAACTGGCTTGTGATTAGGTAGTTACTACTTAGACCACTTGGCCACAGAGGCCCCTGCAGACTTTTGAGAATTCATTTGTCTATACCGGTACATGTCTGTTGGATTTGTAAATAAAACATTTATATAGATGCAAACAAACAACACAATTAAAGATAAGAAAAAACCTGTTTTAACCCTTACCATTCTAGGACCATTATATATAACAGCCTTCATACATTTTTTTATATATGGCCCCACAGTACAGAGCTTGGGAACTTTCAAAAACAGTTTAAACCTAAAGGAATATAACTAAAGACTACTTCAAATTGCTGGTCCATATGAAGCTAAAACTATAAGAATTTAACTAAAAGCCACCAGGACTGGCAAACAATTGCCAGTACAGGTGAAGCTAACTACTAACTTTACCATTTTGAGACAGTTTAGGGTATTATAAGTAACAGTTAAAATGCTATAACAGTCTGAAACTTTTTTTTTTAAGGATTAATAAATTACCTCAGTTTGTACCATGTACATTCGACATTCTCTCATCTTTACTACAAAGTCAAAAATATCAATGCTGGAGTCAAAATCATGATCTCTGATAAACTGCATCATGTGGTCCAGGGCAATAAACGTTCCTGTCCTTCCAACACCAGCACTGTAAATATAGAACATGATTTAGATCAAATAAGTTGTGTTCATTTATAAATATACATATACAGTACTGTATCAGTGGTTGTCTTTTGTTTATGTGTTACATATTTGTTTTTCATTCATTTTTTGTACCTAAATTAGACCGTTAGTTGTCTCGTTTGGATTGTTTTACATTGTCATTTTGAGGCCTTTTATAGCTGACTATGCAATATTGACTTTGCTCATTGTTGAAGGCGGTATGGTGACCTATAGTTGTTAATTTCTGTGTCATTTGGTCTCTTGTGGAGAGTTGTCTCATTGGCAATCATACCTCATCTTCTTTTACATATATAGTCTGTGTCTCTGAAAAGAGTCAATAATTAGGAACAGCTGCAAGTCATGGTTATGCATCACATTTAAATTATACACTACTTTAAAATTATTGCAATGAAATAACAACCATCACAAAATTTGTGTGAGGAGTTGAGTGGTGAAATATTATTGTCAAATGTTGACAAATTCTATACATGATAATAGAGTTAAAGGCATACTGTAAATTTCTAGACACTGGGTTTACTACTAAAATGAGACATCCTATTATTAACTATGATTTAGTCTTTTTTGTATCAAACATATCTACATGTATAAAAGCCAATTATTGATATGATAATTTGGTATTTACAGTAAGCTGGTTCAATTTTGTCAAAATAAGCTCAATAACATTGCTAACTAGACATCATCTCTATGGGCCCATCTGTGAATAACATGTGGTAAAAAAAATTGTATATTTACTAAGTTTTTGACCTTGAACTTTGACCTAGGAAGTTGTACATACATTATGACACATCCACTGGTGTTGGTTAACATACATGTCAAGTATAAACTTTGAAATCATAATGGTTCTCAAGATATAGAGGGGACACAATCTTTATCATAGGACATGGGGTTGTCAACTGAAACCAGTTTTTGACCTTGACCTTTGACCTAAGAAGTTGTAACTACATTATGACACATCCTCTGGTGTGGTTAATATACATGTCAAGTATAAAGTATGAAATCATAACGGTTCTCAAGATATAGAGTGGACACGATCTTTACCATAGGACATGGGTTGTCAACTGAAACCAGTTTTTGACCTTGACCGTTGACCTAAGAAGTTGTGCATACACTATGACACACCCTCTGGTGTTGGTTATTATACATGTCAAGTATAAAGTATGAAATTATAATGGTTCTCTAGATATAGAGCGGACACAATTTGTTACGGACAGACAGACTGATTACTATAGGGTGACCCACCATTCGGCAGGGCCCTAATAAAATTAAGAATGGAAATGGGGAATCTAATGTATTATTGACTTGCAATTCAATGTCATTTGAAACCCTATTCATGCAATTATAAAATTGGTCCCTAGCTATGTAGTTCAGTGGTTGTCGTTGGTTCATGACGTCATATTTGTTTTTTTTACATTGTTTTGTTTCAAATTAAGCAGTTTGTTTTCTCCATTGAATTGCTTCTTCCTCCACCAGAAACAGCAAGCCTGAGTATTGCTTTTTCTATTTTGTTGTGGCGAGACAAAAAATCTAAAGATCAGACTGACTTATGTACAACACAGGCAAAAGACTCTTGACATAAAGAACAGACACATGACTACATACATACCTGCAGTGAACAATCATTGGAACTCTACTCTCTGGAATAGTCACATGACTGCGTACGTTGGAGATGAAGTCAACCATGACATCATTTTGTACATTGGCTGAGAAATCTTTCCAGTTTAGGAAATGAAAATGTTTTAATGTCCTGGACTTGTCTCCCTAAAGACAACAAAACATGTATAATTAATTATGTATTACAAAAAGAATTTAGACTTAAACGATTCATTTGATTCAGAAAGTTGACAGTCTTCTCTTACTCATCAGCTGATAAAAACTTTTGTTCTAGTTGCAAGAAATAAAAATCCTGATGTTTGAAAGTCTTTTTAATGATATAAATGTATATGTTTTATTGGTAAGTTTGGTACAGAACAGAAAGTGTTTGAGTGCATTTTTTTAAATAATTTTTATAATTATGATTAATGAATAGAGGACACAAATTTATGGAACATTAATCATTGCTTTTTATAAAGAAAATGCTGCATATAAATCATTCTGTCACAATAAAACTAGAGGCCTGAAAATGCCTGTGTTGCTCTCCTGCATCAACAACAATAGCCATTTTTAGGTAAAATATATTATGGAAGGGCAATAACTCTATAAAGATTTAACTGACAATTTCAGTCCTGTTGACATATTTGTAGATCTGGTCTTCCTCATTCTTTATGGTCTATAGTTTCTATCTGTCTGTTATACTTTTTAAAAAAAAATGCAAAAACTAAAAAAAAAATGTGAAAAATAGACTATCAAGGGCAACATTTTAAAAAAAGGGGTCACTGGACAATTTGGGTTTGTTGATTTATTTGTAGATCTTAACATGCTGATCATTATAGTTTCTTTCTATCTTTTATAGTTTTTAGTATATAATCATGATAATGCAAAAACGCAAAACAATTGGTAAAAATCCTCATTAAGAACTGTTACAATAACTGCAATAAGGATGTTGATTTAAGCCATGTTGACTTATTTGTAGATCTAATCTTGCTGATAATTTTTTTAATGAAAATTTCTCAATGATTATGGTGGTTGACATATTGGGTGGGGTTATCAGCAATTTTTGTAACTAGATACCCAATCCTGATTGTGGCCAAGTTTGGTTAAATTTGGACTAATAGTTTTTTGTAAAAGTTAACAGACCACTACGGAAAGCAGATGATGGACGCCTACTGATGAGAAATACTCACTGGGTGAGCTAAAAAGAGGCGATTTTTTAAATTTTGCTAAACCAACCCATTTGCAGTCTTCTCAAAAATAGTAACATCACATTAATTTCTGAATTTAAAGTTATTGTTTGTCAGTCTTATTTCTGGACAACTAATCACATCTTTGGGATAAAATGCTTAAGTTCATTGTGTTATAAATCCAGCTAATAGTTAACCAGAGTCTAGACAGTTTTTTTATCCAATATCAGAGCCTTGAAAATACATGCCATCAATAACTATTTCCTTAATAAACCACAACTACTTTTTTTTACAAAAACATTGTTCTTGAATCTTGTGAGGGGGTAATGATAATAATGAGTACTGAACCCGCCACCATTATCACAATTAGTGGAAAACAAATGAAAGTTCTGATCCCGTTATATTCCATAGTCACATGATTACAGTATATTTGGGAATAGCAAAAGAACATGATCAAGACATATCAACTTATATGGATGAGGTCACCTGATCATAGATTTCCAGCAGAGTGAAGGTCATAAAGTGATAAAATTTTTAAATAGGAATTTTTAGGAAATTTTCACATGATCAAACTATTCCTAGATCCCCATTGAAACAGTCACTATATCAGAATTACTAGTTCCATGAAGCTTCATATGTCAGTGTTCTACATTTTACAAATTAAGGTTAGACTTACCAGAGTCATTTTAAAAATTCTGAATTCATATGTGTTGATTGTTGAGCAAGATTGCATTTCTACAACAATATCTCCAAACTGTTTGGCTTCTGACTGTTCTGTTGGCCAGTACATCTCACATTTTATCTGAAATTATAATCAAAGTCAAAACAAATATTTAAAAAAAAATAGCAATAGGGAAAACCCTTTTTGCAACTATGTCTTAAATAAACTCAACATAGATACCAAGATTGAAAATATGTAAGCCAGATGTTTGTTTCTTCTACAAAAGACACATCAGTAATGCGCCTATTAAAAAAGTTAAAATATACAAAGTTCAGCCGTGGTGTAGTGGTAAGAGCATCAGACTACAAACACAAAGGTTCCTGGTTTGATCCCCTTTCGGGGAGAAAATATCAGGGACTAAATTTTCGACTCCTATCTTGACACCATATGCAAGTATGGTCTTGAGAAAGGATGATAGTCCTTCCGATGGGGACGATAAATGGCTGATCCGTGGTAAGAGAGAGCAATATCTCTTGCCTGTAAAAGACACCCTTCTTGTAGATTTAGAAAAAGAGCAGGCTAATGCCGCTACAAGGCAGCACTCGCAAAGTGAAAAGGGATTAATATAAGTTGTAATAACTTGTTTCCCAATCCACTATAAATGAATATGTTAAAACTTCAAATGCATTGAGGATCAAGGGATAACAGAAACTGAAAGCTTTTTGTCCTAAACATCAGATTTGGTCAAATTTCAATTTTTACAGAAATAATTTTGGTGATTTTATTGAGATTGGGTGTCTTAATCACCATTTTGCACTTGTTAGTGTTAATAAATCCTTTTCTGGTAATAAAACTGACATCGCCAATTACACATGCAAATAACCCCAAAAATTTATGAATTAGGCCCTTCATGTAGTTTCTGTAATCAACACTCATAGAGTAGGAGAATATAAAGACTTCATTATTCTGTTAATTACTTATCAAACACTACGTCAATAGTGCAACAGAGATTTTTAAAAGAAAAGATATTATCAGCGCAGTTACTGTCAAAGAAAAAGTAAAAATCCTTAAATCGTGAGTTTTTGCTTCTGAAGGGCATTGATGATAAAAATCTATCAACTTATTTTAATTGGCCATACTTCCCAGTCAAAGATATTAAGTCTATTGTTTGAGATTCCCTTTATTTTTAGCCAATGAAAAAAGAGAATTTGTATAGTCATACAATATAACGCATTGTTTGGTACCTACCCTGCCATCCTCTTTAGCTAATGTCAACATGACAATAATAGAAACACTCTGTTCCCAAACCATTCTCCAGAAATCATCAATAGTACTAGGTATAGGTCCTTGTGAGGCTATGTACTCTCTCTGGGATTTGTATCCCTGCAAACAGAATGCACGTCAAATTAAAATCAACAATGTTTAGAGTAAACTCATTTTTTCAAACCATGTATCACAGGACAGGCTGTAGGTTTTCTCCTTTAAATTGTTTCTTTTTTGTCATGCGAAGCCTTAAATAGCTTACTTTATAGTATGAGTTTTGCTCATTGTTGAAGGCTGTACTATGACCTATAGTTTCTTTTAGTCCCATCCTTTGGTTTTTATTAGATAGTTGGCAATATCATACCACATCTCCTTATTTTCATGGTAATTTATTTGAAAGTCAACAGATGTTTGTGTGTAATTCCTCAAGAGTAGTCTTATTTTTTTTTTTTACTTCATATCATATTTTTTTTAAACATTAATAATTTATAGAAATAGTTTTCACGACAAACCACACCATCTCAAGGAAGGTTAATAAATAAAATGTTCAATGTTATCAATTTGATTGATTGATTGCTGGTTGCTAAATGTAATGCAGTAAATATTTCAGCAAATTCTGGACAAAACTAACGCTAACAACATATCATAATCGGAGAATTTCTTAGAAAGATCAGTTGGATAAATATGACTGGACAATAATAAGAATCATTCTAAAAGTTTATTTGCATATCATTCTTCCAAAAAATATTTTGTTTGGAAATTGATTTATGTATATACATGTATTACTTACAGGAATATAGTTTGCATTGATGAATGTAGATGCTTGTTCATCATCATCTTCTAGTGGTAACAGTTTGACAATGGTGTGGTCATCTGAAAAGTAATTTTTTTTACATGAAAAAAATGTGTGTTCCAAATATTTTATAGATTTGAATTTTCATACCTGCCAACCCTCCTGTTTTGAGCGGGAGACTTCCGCTCAAATGGCGAAATTCAGGAAATCTCCCGCTTGCCGGTACCCTCCTGCGCGGGAGTATAGAATCTCCCGCTTTTGAATATTTCAACCTTGAATGACAAGTCAACATTAATTACGTTTTTGAGTCACTGATGAGGGTTGTTGTTACCTGTAAATCACAGACCGTGTGAAATTAAAATGGCTTCACTTGACAGCTTGGGTGTCAAACATAGTACTAATTAACGAACATTAATGACATTTGCTTCAAGCTTTGTGTTATTAAAAACACTTCAATGAAATTTCAGGTTACTTCACCTGTTTAATCCTGTTTTAAGTTATCCTTCTTAAAATAATGTGAATTGATACAACAATATAAACTAAATATAAATTGAACAAAGAATCATAAAAGGATGGCAATTAAATGATTTTGTATGCCTTAAGACAAAAAAAAATAATTATATTTTAAGAATCTTTTAAAAGATCTATACTTCTATTCAATGTTTGAATTGAAATTTATAAGATATGTACTGAACCAACTTGAATGAAATGTGAATTTGCACACACTTAATACACCATCTTGTGACAATCTGATTAAACACCTGAAACAGAGGTAACTTAATTGAAAAGCTGTCCTGATGGGATGCAAATGTGGAAGATGATGAAAAAGGAAAGAAACAAAAAACATATCTTGTATAGGATATAACCATATTTAAAGAAATAAAGTATATCTATTAACTCTTATATGTGTTTTGTAGAAGAATAAATAAACAGGTCATATATTTCACTTGAAAATGTCGTTCGCTCAAAATCTCCCCCTGAGCTGTCATAGCTGAGAGGGAGATCTCCCTCTTTGAAGGTTTCAGAGGTTGACAGGTATGAATTTTATACATGTTAAACACTTCCTTTGCTGATTTCTAACAAATTTTCAATTTTGCACAGTTATGCAAATTACTGTTAACATATTAATTTATGTGAAATATTTATTAACAAAAATATAACTCAATATAGATAGTTTCATAAAAGATTTTTCATTATATATCTTCAACTGTAGGACTCAGTTAAGCTCATAGGTATAACCGTATAGTATGATATAGGAACTCCCTTTACATTTGGAGGTAAAGTACTTCTGTCTATCCAAGTCTGTAAAAAGCAGTATACCCCTATATAATAATGAGGAGCATCCATTTTGTACTTTGACAATAGAAAAACAAAGGATATGGGGTATCCATCCATGACACAAAAGCAGTTCATGCACAGCAAAAAACACGTAAAAAGAAAAGGAACAGCACTTTTATTGCTGTTCTTCATCTCAAAGCCACAGTGAGGCCTTCAACAGACTATACTTACAAGGAAGAATATTGACATATCTGTTTTTCAGTTTATTTTCCTCAGTATCTGCAAGAGAAGTGCTTACATGTTTCAATGTTTTGGGATCTGTCAAAGTTTTCAGCTCCTGTTGAAAGAAAAATATTACAATTCAATTTTCCCAGTAAGGAAGTTTAGCTGATTTTGTCTGAGGAATTTAAAAATTAAATCTGTGACAATTTTGCTAGTACCTCATTCAGAGGTTCTAAGTATGAATGGTCATTTGTACTTTTCCAATGTTCTCTTAATTAATAATTCATAAAGGCTTGTATTTATTCAAATTCTTGACCCTTAATCACTCCTTAAGGAAAGTTATTTTCAAAGTGTTTCATAAGTTTACTGGTGACTGGAAGAAAGAATTCAGCAGATTATAATTGAAGTTCAGTACAAGCAGACGTACAATTTACCATTTAAATTCTTAAGGGATTGCTTGGTACACAAACATGAACACATTTAGCAGTTACAAGATGTGTTAAGAATTATGGATACCTTTTTTTACCATTGTCCACCAGTATTAGTTTTATTTAGTCACATCAGCAGTTCTCTTACTATGAAAGAGAAATGGTTTTTACACTTATTTTTGCTAACATAGAATACAATTTTACCTCATACTCATGTGCAAATTTAAGATTACTATCTTTATGTAGCTCTGCAACTTTGGCCTCAAAATCTTTCATTGCAATAGGTCTGAAAATGAGAAAAGATTAAAGTTACCAATTTAGGTAAAATGGGAGTCTTTCACCATCTTTGATCTCAAATAACACTAAGTCATTAGTCCAGATGAGATAATTGAATTTACAAGCAGGAATGCAATTCCTTTGGGAGACTTTTCATTTCTATGAAGAAAATTTAAAGTGTTTATCTTAATGTAACAACTGCTTCAACTAGATATAAATATTTTTATTGATTCAAAGTTTGTTAAGCTTATCAGGGGAGATAACTCCTTAGATAATTTACAAGTAATTTACAGTAAATTTTTCTATTTTGTTAAATAACTAGTTAGGGCTATTCCATTAAAATGTATGTGGGAGGGTAGGAAGGGAAGGTTAATTATTGAATGTGGGTCATAGGTCTTTTTTCAGTATGCGTCTTTTACCATTATGCAAAATTATCTAAACAATGGTTCTTGGTTGTAGGGATATTTTGAAAGTCCCGTCCTACCCTTCCACATACATTTTAATGGAATAGCCCTTACACAGTATGGGTGTTTTTTTTAAATTTTATTTTCTGATATCATGAAACAAGAGCCATCTCTAAATATTTTTTTTCATGTTTTTTGTCTGCTTTGTTCTTAAATAAAATGCTCCCCTGGGCGTAGCTTGATACAACCGCAGAGGTCGAACCCTGAACAGTTGGGGCAAGTATGGACACAACATTCAAGCTTGATACACACTGAATTTGGATTGTGATTAAATATTTGACACAGCATAGGTTTCTGACACAGAATGAATGTGGTCTTAGAACTTATAAATTTTTAATTTACCTATTCAAACCATATCATTATTATTTGCTTTTATATATAAATCAGAAATAACCAATTAAAAATGGAAAATTTTAAAGAGAAAAAAAAAGGAAAAATAGGAAAAAAAATCCCTCCCCCAAAATTTTTTGAACCCCCTTATGATTCATCACCCCCAAACTCAATCCCAGCCTTCCCTTTGTGGTATGGTACCTTGCAGTACAATTTCAGAGAGATCCATACACTTGAACACAAGTTATGGTCAGGAAACTAGAAAAATGCTTATTTTTGGCCCCTTATTCCTAAACCTTTTGGGCAAATACCCGCAAACTCTATTCCAGCTTTCCCTTTGTGATATGGAACCTTGTAGTACAATTTCAGAAAGATCCATACACTTACACACAAGTTATTGTCCTGAAACTAGATAAATGCTTGTTTTTGGCCACTATTTCCTAAAATTTTGAGGCAATTACCCCCAAAATCAATCCCAGCATTCCCTTTGTGATATGGAACCTTGTGGTACAATGTCAGAGAGATCCATAAACTAACACACAAGTTATGTCTGGAAGTTACAAAAATGCTTATTTTTGGCCCCTAATTCCTTAACTGTTGGTACCATAACCCCCAAAATCAATCCCAACCTTCCTTTTGTGGTATTGAACCTTATTGTAAAATTTCATAGAGATCCATTCACTTAAACTAAAGTTAGAGTGCAAAAATCAATGTGTCTTCGGACGACGACGACGCCAACATCATACCAATATACAACCGCAAAAATTTTGCGGGTCGTATAAAAAATGTTTCAATTTTTCACATCCTGTAATTCAAATTAAGCTCAATGATTTGTTGTTAAAGTAAATAACTATATACTGCGTTTTGGTAAAGTATGAAAATATAGTAGTTTTAACCTCAGTATTAACTTCATCAAAAGAAAAAAAATTGATAAATTCACATTTAGTCATATTGATCATTTGAAAGCTTACTATTTTGTATCGGTTTTGCTCATTGCTGAAGGCTGAACTGAATCTTTACGGACATCCTTGGTCTCTGATGGATAGTTGTCTCATTGGCAATCAAACCACATCTCCTTATCTTTATACAGACCTTGTTGAATTACATGTTAATACATATTTACCTTTTCTTTCTTATATTCTTTCTCTCAACAGATGGTGTCTCCAAATGATGAGGGTTCAAATCATTAAAATCATCAATTTCTTTGTCCTCCTCCATGGGCTTATGCCTGAAATAAAGAAAAAAAATACTAATTTGAATTGAGACTTTTAATATGATATCATATCATTCTCACATAGTTTTTAACTAATGATATCTTTTAGTAGTCTATCAAAATCCAGAGTTTTAAGGTCCTCATTCTGCATATACATTTACTATTACTCTCTAAGTGTCCCCTTGAATAATCAATATTTCTCACATCATAACTTTATAAATATAAAGAGACGTGGTGATAACTGACAATTTGAGAAAAGGATGAAGATGTTTATAACTACAGGAAATTGTGGCAACTATTTCATGATAAAGACAATCAAATTTATTAAAGGAAGGCCTTTAATAAGGAGTCCCTATAAATTTTTCAGGTTTTGACAACAGAGTCTGTAGATTATGAACCTTATCGCACGCTAATTTCATGTCAACCTTTTGTACCTAAATGTATGTACGATTTGATCAATTAAAAGTAACCAGGGTAGTTTTTTATGGTACCCATGAAGACAATGACCTGTTCAGCTATATTGATGGATGTAACTCAACTTTCGCTTATCATGTTCTTGCAAGGACATGTCAGTTATTTTTTAACCCAAACAACTACTGGACTGTGAATTGTTGAAGGCCCTACAGTGACCTCTTTTTGTTCACATCTTTGTTCTTTGTTCTTTTATAAGTTTGTCTATATATAGTTGTCTCATTGGAAATCATAGGACATCTCCAAATTGTTATAGGGTAGGTCCACAAAAATTATCAACTGTGTGTATATCTAATTGTTCTTCTTTCTGCATTTCTCATGCAAAGGTAGTACCTAACAGTAAATATTCATGTGTTGCCTCTATATATTAATTGTCAAATATAGTGACTGAAAAGAGTAATCAAATCCTAACTCAGAAGAAACAGAAAAAGATGACAACTCAAAACTGTACCAGATTTTTGACATTCCACCTTATATATAAAACCTCAGATTGGAATAGTTCATATTCAAGGTAAATTACAGAAATGTTATTGAAACAATGTCAAATATTTGATTCAAATAAACACTTGAGCGAAAAATCATGTGAATAGAAATAAAACACACAAAAAAATTATCATACCTGCCAACTTTCACGATTTAGGCGTGTACTACACGATTTTGACCCCTTGTCACGATTGCACGATCATGATCATGAAAAACGCTCTAAAACATGATTTTGTGAAATTCTACACGAAAAAAATTATTGTTCCCGACTTTGAACTTTTCCCAATGGAGTGATCAGCCAATCAAAATCTGTGTTTCTCATGATCAAATTAATAAGCCAATCAAAATCATTGTTTCTCATGATTATTGGGCATTGCAAACATGCTAAGTTTTGAACTTGTTTTGAACATTTGAGTTATATTCCTCTGTCTGTATGTAAGAATTGTAAAAATCGTGATCATGGCAAATTAATTTTTATCTGCAGGAAGGTTCTTACACAGCTTAAGAAGAAAAGTATGACTGATTGACAAAATTCAAAGATGCATAATAAATAGTAGCTTATGGACATTACACTTATTGTAACAGATCATCATGATCATATAGTGTTTTCATTCTTGTATTTAAATTACCAAATCATTTATAATGCAATGTACTATCTTTTATTTTTCACAAGGAATCAGATAAATGTCCTTCTTTGTGCATATTTTTAAACTGAAGTCAACAATCACTTTAATATTCCAACACAAGAAAATATATCTTGGTAAAATTCTAGCTACATGTTTATCTTTTCTACACAATAATATAAGTACTAAAAAGAAGAAAAAGGCTTGTAAGCTCATCATCAGTATACCATATAAAAAAAAGATATGACACTTTTTCTAGAGCACAAAAACAGCGCGCGCATAAAATAGTAACCTTTGAAATTGTTGTCATGCACTAAAACCCCCATGGGGATTTTCAAAAGTTGGCAGGTATGAAATATATATACACAGTAGTTAATTAATATAGATATCATTACCTGATTGTTTCTTACCAATATAGCAAGCCTTATACCAATAACAAGGCCAAAACAGAAATAATCATAGATAACATATGGCCGATTACAGTATCATAATTTACCTCGGAGTCAGAAGTTTTAGTCACATATGCACACAACAATTACCCTCATAAATCTATGACTTCATTGGTTAAAACTTACTTCCTTCTATTTTTCTTGATCACAACAATAATTATAATAATAATGACAAACACCGCCACAGCAGACGCAACACCAGCTATAATGGCTATCGGCAGACCTTCAGGTTCTGTAATGAAAATGATAAAATAATTAGTTTATCTGTCAGACATCTGATGATTATATATATAATTATGATAAATGGTAGAAGTGATTACTAGTACGCACTGTCTGACAGATTTTATTTATTCTACTTATCATGCTTCAGTTAACTTATGACTTTTATTTATTGTAAATTCAGAAATTATTGTGATGTTCTTATTATTAATTTCTGAATTTGCAGTACATGTAAGTAATAATGTCTTAAGCAACAGTTTTAACTGATGGATCTTTTGACTGATTTAACAACTAGCTCTTTTTGTTAAATATTAATATGCGGCTCATGACTTGACAGTAAGAAATAGTCATTATTAATTAAGTCAACTTATTGGAAAAGAAAACATTTTTTAATTATTTATCAAAAGAGTACATAGTTGACACTATAAACACTAACCAAAGCAAATAAGAAAAAAAAACCACAAAAAATATTTGAAATAAAAAACATCCAATCACATATCACATTAATTTATCATATTTATGTATCTAAATAGCAAACTCAAAATGAATATTCAGAGCAATCTATAAATATATATCTAAATATTGAATTGCAATTGTCTATTGGCAGCTGTTTCTTCTAAATTTTACAAAAGCTCTTAAAAATCTATATCTTAAAAAATTCATTAAGAATTATAAAAAAGTTTGAGAGATTAATAATTTTATCTAAATTTACACAACAAATAAAGGTAGAGGATAAAGGGTCTATCTATGTTCTGCCTGTAGCTTATAGCTTAAGGATATAAACAGGTGACTAGAAGCAAAAGCATTGTGATATACAGGTCTTTAAATTCAATACCAAATGAAGCTCAACTACCACACAATGGTATAAGTCTTTAACAATTTCCAACGGATTTCATAAGCAATGTTATTGATAAATATAGAAGAACTGCAATTCCTTAATTATCCGACCTGTAACCCAAAATTATGACCAAAAACTGTGCACTAGCTCTTTCTTGAAACAAGAGTTGGTCCCAAGTAAAATTAGACTCAATTTTTTTTTTATCTAGGATTGGGGCAATAACAAGTACCAAGTATACTTTTGAAAGAATTCATCAAATGTTCATAATATAGGTTAAACTGAGGCATAGATTGGAAGTTCTACAAAATTCTATACACAAATTTTATTTCAAATGCTAATGAAATCCTCTGTTTGTAAAATGAGAAAATGATGGAAAAATATTGTTCAACTTAAAGTTTGATAAAGAAAGCCATCTTTATTCTTGAAATCCTCGGTTAACAATTTGATCTTTTAAAATTGTAATTGAGTGAAAAAAGAACTTGAAGAATGCAAACAGTAAAATCTAGGCCAAAGTTAACTTATATAAATATGAAAGCGATTTTCAATCCACATATTTGCAGTTCATAGTCAGAAAACTGTTATTCTTTATAAATTTCTAAATTAATTTTCATAATAACTGTATAAATAGCTTTGAAGGCTCATCTGAAGTTCGTTCATGGAAATAAATGGATTTCTGACCATGGAAGCATTCTTACATATCTTTATCATTCAAATGATGCTCCACATGCTACATTTTATGAACTTATAGCATCCCACATAGTTTCCACTCTTGGAAAGCCCTTAAACTGTAGCAATTTTTGTACATTTCATTCTGAATTCCTTCATTAGATTTAAAAAAATTTAATTTTCATCCAATATTGACAACAGAAATGAAGTAACAATTTGTAATTTCAGTTTTTACTAACCAGGTTGTGTTTTATAAGGTCCATACGGTTTCGATTCTGTACAGCCTCCACTTGTACAAACAAATGCTATCACTCTAAAAAACATTACTTATATAATTAGTTCACATTGGTTGACTAACTGCTACATATTTTCATCATTGTGTCATTTTTTTTGTAAATATGCATACTGATTTTCATTTTTCTTTAGCTTAATATAATAGAAAAACAAAGAATATGGGGTATCCATCCATGACACAAAATCAGTACATGCACAGCAAAAAAAAAAAAAGCAAAGGAAAAGCACTTTTATTGCAGTTTTCCATCTCACAGTCACAGTGATGCCTTCAACACAGAGCAAAAAACTCACACCTCGCTTAGCTATTTATGGCAGACCAATCAAATAATGCAATGCAACAAGTGCTTCTTAAGTTTGAATTACTACTTATCTTATAGTATCATGAAACAGGAGAAACTGACATCATTACCTGTTTTCGGTGGGGTTTGTCTTATCAAATTACATATCTGGCTTAAATATTTAATTTGTCAAACCCTGCACACTGTTTTCTATGCTTAAATATGGTGACAATCAAGACAATATTGTCAACATTCTCAATAATCTTTTTTTTTGTCAATTTGTGATGTCAATGTCAATGCCTCATAATTATAAGCAAAGCTCGACAAAAATAATTCAATTTCACTTTCTTACATGTCTATTCATCAACTTAAAACAATTTTTTCTCAAAGCAATGGACCTTATATTCGGGGCAAAATAAGGTCATTACGGAACACTAGCTATAAATATTAACATTAAAAGACACTAAAACATGAAATATATGCTATATTAACTTTCTTTGCAAATTGACTGCAACCTCAATACAAGACACTTATGCATGATAAAATTAGATTATCATCTTAAAGATCCTACACAATTAAACCCCGATTATAAGCACCTATAAAGACTACAATATCAGTCCTAACACTTCTTTACCCAAAATTAAACACTTTAATTTATACCATTTTTTAAAAACAAATCTTTCAATATTCTACATGTCTTACATAATTCTTATGTCTGCAGGTAGTGGTCCATTACAGTACACATCATCTGCCAGTTTATTACAATCAGTATCTTCTCCTATTGTTAATTCTACCACCTCGATACTTCTCTTACGTCTACCTGAAGAGCTGACTAGAAACAAAAAAGCAAGCAAAAAAACAGTATGAATCTCAACAGTACTTTTTATGATTTTGACACTTCAGTTTTTACAACAGTAGTCGCATAAAACATGATCTCTCATATGGTGACATGGATTTTTTTTTTTACAATTGATGCATTCTGGATCAATGTTACACATAGGTATCATTTTGGGTACTGTGTGCTTTGTTATATATTTTATTAAAATTATTCTTGACAGAAATTATTTCTGTACTCCTGACCAAACAAAATGAACACTTTTTTTTGGGGATTTTTAAAACTCTTTGAATTTAGTCCTTTTAGTCCATTTGATAACTATAAATTCATAAATTATTGTGATTGTTGGACAATCTACTACAATGTGAGTTAAATCATTGCGATTTCAGGAAAAACTTTGCTAAGATTTCTTAATTTACAGTAAGTTTCTAAAGTTTTTGGCACCTCAGAATCATCTACGGACAGAAGTATCAGGTAAGTAATAGAATAGACAATGGAAACGGGGAATGTGTCAAAGAGATATCAACCCAACCAAAGAGCAAAAATTAGCCCATGGCCACCAATAGGTCATCAACGCAGTCAGAAAATCCTAAGCAGTAACATATACTAATTCAGTGAAATGGACACCACATTAAACTCTGAAACATACAAATGAAACAAATTTTAAAAAAAACACACAAGAGTAACAAAGGATAGAGGTTCCTGACTAGGGACAGGTGCAAAAATGTGGCAGGGTTAAACAAATTTTGTGAGATCTCAACCCTCCCCCTATACCTCTGGTCAAGATGGAATAAACAATCACACAGCAAAACACACAGTTAAACTCAGTTTAAAAGAAGACTGAATACATGTATTCAAGTCAATAAATTTCTATTATCTTAAGCAGTTACCATGATCATTTATCCAAGTTCTGTTTGTCACTCTGTATGCTTGTGTAAAACCTTTAGCTCTGGATTGTTTCCATGTTGCCAAAGTTGCAAAATGTGATGGATCTTTCATCTGACTAGTTTCTCCTGTGGTAACAAAAAGAAAAACTGACAAGTAATATCCAGCAAAATGTATAGCAATTGGCAAAATTTTGCATAAATATTTAAGCAGAAAAACAAGATTTAAATTCAGCATTAAATTACTGTGTTTATTAATGAAAAAAATGCAAATCATAATTAATGTGAAACATGCTCCTATGAAAATAATATGTGGATACCTTCTTACCAATTTGAAGCAGATCTTATAAAATATGAGTGTAATCTCATGAATTGAGTCATCTAGCACTATTGTAGAACTTGCATTGCTGAAAATTTTTGCAGCTTGCAGATTCTGCATTTCATTAAAGATTTTAAAATAATATATGCAAAAACAAGAAATTTAGTAAAAACAAAATCGCCATATAATGGCCATGACTACAAGAAGAAGTCATCTGATGGTTAGTATCAAATACTCATTTTAAAAGAAATGGTATTGCTCCTTTTTGCTGTTTACAGTTTTGCACATCTATATTAAATATTTTGAAGTAATAGACAACCAAAACAAAATTTCAATAAAATGCTCCGTTGGGCGCAGCTTGATACGACCGCAAAGGTCGAACCCTGAACAGTTGGGGCAAGTATGGACACAACATTCAAGCTTGATACACACTGAATTTGGATTGTGATTAAATATTTGACACAGCATAAGTTTCTGACACAGAGTGAATGTGGTTTAAGAACTTTTAAGTTTTTAATTTACCTATTCAAACCATATCATTATTATTTGCTTTTATATATAAATCAGAAATAACCAATTTAAAATGGAAAATTTTAAAGAAAAAAAAAAGGAAAAAAGGAAAAAAAAAAATCCCTCCCCCCAAATTTTTTGAACCCTTTTATGATTCATCACCCCCAAACTCAATCCCAGCCTTCCTTTTGTGGTATGGTACCTTGCAATACAATTTCAGAGAGATCCATACACTTGAACACAAGTTATTGTCTTGAAACTAGAAAAATGCTTGTTTTTTTGCCCCTTTTTGGCCCCAAATTCCTAAATGTTTGGGGCAATTACCCCCAAACTCAAACCCAGCTTTCCCTTTGTGATATGGAACCTTGTAGTACAATTTCATAAAGATCCATACACTTACACAAAAGTTATGGTCCTGAAACTAGAAAAATGTTTGTTTTTTGCCCCTTTTTCGCCCCTAATTCCATGGTATGGTACCTTGCAGTACAATTTCAGAGAGATCCATACACTTGAACACAGGTTATTGTCTGGAAACTAGAAAAATGCTTATTTTTGGCCCATTATTTCTAAACGTTTTGGGCAATTACCCCCAAACTCAATTCCAGCTTTCCCTTTGTGATATGGAACCTTGTAGTACAATTTCAGAAAGATCCATACACTTACACACAAGTTATTGTCATGAAACTAGAAAAATGCTTGTTTTTTACCCCTTTTTTGTCCTAAAATTTTGAGGCAATTACCCCAAAACTCAATTCCAGCTTTCCCTTTGTGATATGAAACCTTGTAGTACAATTTCAGAAGGATCCATACACTTACACACAAGTTATTGTCATGAAACTAGAAAAATGCTTGTTTTTTTGCCCCTTTTTTGGCCCCCAATTCCTAAAATTTATTGGCAATTACACCCCAAAATCAATCCCAGCATTCCCTTTGTGATATGGAACATTGTGGTACAATGTCAGAGAGATCCATACACTAACACACAAGTTATGTCTGGAAGTTACAAAAATGCTTATTTTTGGCCCCTTTTTGGCCCCTAATTCCTTAACTGTTGGTACCATAACCCCCAAAATCAATCCCAACCTTCCTTTTGTGGTATTGAACCTTATGGTAAAATTTCATAGAGATCCATTCACTTAAACTAAAGTTAGAGTGTGAAAACCAATTTGTCTTGGGACGACGATGACGACGATGCCAACGTCATACCAATATACGACCCCAAAATTTTTTTTTGCGGTCGTATAAAAAGTATTATTTAAATGCAATCACTCTTATAATTTTGGCTAAATTAATGATAATTTTGGTGGAAGTTTAAAGCAGGTCAATCCTAATATTTTGAGCATTTTGCATATATTTAACCACGACAGCCATTTTTGTTTAATTTGCAGGAAAAAATACACAAACTTTAATATACCAGATCCTGTGAAACTTGAAATTGGTCTTTTGGATATAGAGGAGAAGGTCTTTTAAAATTCTACAACTACAGACAATGGAATACAATGATGGATGTCGAGTAATAGCAATATGCCTTATTGCTAATTGGATCAGGTATGCGAAAAAAAAAGGCTTACAGAAAGGATGTTGAAAGATATAAGTGGACTTCATAACATATTGTAATTTGTAATTTATTTTATATTAATTTTCAAATATTTTAGAGGTATTCATTTATGATAAATTCTTAAATTCTAGACAAGTGATATTCATATAAAGCGAATTATCCTACTAGGAGCCCCAGTCAATATAAGTGTTGTTTTACTAAAATAAACCTCTATGAGCTTTTTTACCTGTAACACTATGGACATTTGCGCTTTAAACATTGACGCACTTGTATTAAATTGACAGGACATTTGTGCTTTTACCTATAAAATCTTAATGAGTTGTAATCATTATGCAAATTGAAATAACTTGTATTTGTATTTATCATTGTTTTAAAAATTCGTTAGGGTTCTGTGGAACCCAGTGTCTCGCCTACTTTTGCTGTTAGTCGCAGGCTCAACAAAAATGAGGAAATAATTATTAAAAATTTTCCTCTAGATACTATCTTTTGAATGTAAGAAGCTTCTGTTCAAGTTTGGTAAGAATCCAGGATGGTTTATGAATCTAATAAATGTTTTAAAAACTTTAACTGCAGACTGTATGTAATGTTAACTGGAAGAAAAACTAAGTCCATTTATAAGTAATATACGTAAAAACAGGAAAATTTTTTTTACAAAATTTCCTTCTAGATACTAGCTTTTGATCATAAACAAGCTTCTGTCCAAGTTTGGTACAAATCCAGTATAATTTAAGAAAGTTATTAAAATTTTGAAAACTTATACCACAGAGTGAATGTAAAGTTAACAGTCAGAAAAACTAAGTCCATTTATAAGTAAAAAACGTATAAACAGGATTTTTTTTTTAACAAAATTTACTTTTGAATACTATCTAATGATGATAAACAAGCTTCTGTCCAAGTATGGTACAAATCCAGGATAGTTTAAGAAAGTTATCAAAATTTGAAAAACTTTAACCACAGAGTGAATATTTGTGGACACCGACGGAATGTAGAATCGCAGTCTCGACAAAAACGGAAACCACGTTCCTCTTGTGTTCTCTCTATTGCCTGGATCTACATATTTGTACGTCCCTGGCTTTCAAATGTTTGGGTTTGAGCATTCCCAATGAAATAAACCCAGCAAAGCGCTATAAAAACTTTGGACACTCTAAACTCATAAATATTATTTTTTTAGTTGACAGTTCAGGTCGACTTTGAAAAAAGAGTCAAGGATGTAGTAAGGCAAAACTAAATAAATGGAGAATGTGTCTCCATGGACACAAATGATGACAATACCCAAAATTGTACTTGATCTCAGTTTTAAGGTAATAAGGATCTGAGTTTTATGGTAATAAGTATTGTGTATAGGTCTCATAACGTTTGGTTGGGGCAAACTTAAGTTACAGAACGGAAACTAAAAACTTTGCAATTTTTCGATTTATAATGTGGCATAACTCAATAATGATTAAAGTGACACTACCAAAATTCAACTTGATCTGTGTTTTGTGGTAAAAAGCATTGTGTATAAGTGTCATAACATTTGGTTGAGGCAAGTTAAGTTAGAGAACAGAAACTAAAAATTTTGCATTTTTTTCCATTTATAAAGGGGCATAATTCGAGAATGGTTAAAGTGACCCCACCAAAATTCAAACTTGATCTTTATTTTGTGGTAATAGGCATTGTGTATATGTTTAATAAAATTTGGTTGAGGCAAACTTAAGTTGGAGAACGGAAACTAAAAATTTTGCAATTTTTCCATTTATGAAGGGACATAATTCTAGAACGGTTAGAGTGATGCTACCAAAATTCAATCTTGATCTGTATTTTGTGGTAATAAGCATTGTATATAATTTTCATAACATTTGGTTGAAGCAAACTTAAGTTAGAGAACGGAAACTAAAAATTTAGCAATTTTTCCATTTATAAAGGAGCATAACTCTAGAACGATTAAAGTGACGACACCAAAATTCAAACTCTATCTGTGTTTTGTGATAACAAGCATTGTGTATAAGTTTCATAACATTTGGTTGAGGCAAACTTAAGTTAGAGAACGGAAACTAAAAATTTAGCAACTTTTCCATTTATAAAGGGGCATGACTCTAGAACGGTTAAAGTGATGCCACAAAAATTCAAACATGATCTATGTTTTGTGGTAATTAGCATTGCGTATAAGTTTCATAACATTTGGTTGAGGCAAACTCAAGTTAGGGAACGGAAACCAATTTTAGGACGTATGGATGTACATATATACAGACGGACAAGGGTAAAACTTAATGCCCCCTCCGCTACGGCGGAGGCATAAAAATCTGGAATTTAAAATTGATACTTTAAATCAGAAGAGCATTAGTTAAGGAACAAAATAAGCTAAAAATATTGATAGGTTATGGAACTGCTTTTCGAGATATTTTATTTTTTTTAAATGGCGGGAAAAGGCTGACTCTGACTTTTACCTTATCATTAGCATTGGCATTATTTAGGTTTCAATTCGTAAGAAAAGAAATCTAGAATCTGCTTTAATTTTGATAAATGACCTATTGAAGTCTTATATGAAAAGAAAAGTGGGTGATATGGGGCAAAATATTTTATCTTGTATTGTAGGAAAAAAACGAAGGTGTCCGTACATCTGACAAAAATTCCTAAACCTGACATGACTACATCCTTAAGATTGTTTAAAGAAATTTATTTTTATTCGATGAAGTGTTATTGTTTTTATCTGACACAAGCATAGTCACGCGAAAGATTCAGTCATTAGGACTCTCTAAGGAATTCAAATTGTACATGTGAAGTAGGAAAATGGGTACATAAATTTCTTCCAGTGCCTGTAAATGAGAAAGGAAATCATCAAGCACCAACACTAAAATATTATGCATACCAGCTGCCAACTGCCACTATTTGCAGGGGATTTCCTCCATGGAGGCTCCCAAATGAAAATTTTGAAAGAGCAATTTTGTCCACAATTTAATTAACTAGAGGCTCTCAAGAGCCTGTGTCGCTCACCTGTATTTACTGATGCTTTGGAAATCATGTAAAATAAGGTTAAAATCATAATTAATAGTATTAGATATTAGATATTATAATGATATCTAAGATAATAACAAAAAACTGCAAAATTTTTGTAAAATTACTAACTCAGGGGCAGCAACCCAACAACGGGTTGTCGGATTCGTCTGAAAATTTCAGGGCAGATAAATCGAAATCTGATGAACAATTTTGCCACCTGTCAGATTGGCTCTAAATGCTTAAGTTTCAGAGATATAAACCAAAAACTGCATTTTACCCCTATGTTCTATTTTTAACCAATTCGGCCATGATGGTTGGAAGGCGGGGTCATCAGACAAATTTTTTAAACTAGATATCCTAATAATGATTATGGCCAAGTATGGTTAAATTTGTCTCAGTAGTTTCAGAGAAGAAGATTTTTGTAAAAGATTACAAAAATTTACAAAAAATTGTTAAAAATTGACTATAAAAGGGCAATAACTCCTTAAGGGGTCAACCGACCATTTTGGTCATGTTGACTTATTTGTAGAACTTACTTTGCTGAACATTATTACTGTCAACAGTTTATCTCTATCTATAATAATATTCAAGATAATAACCAAATACGTCAAAATTTCCTTAAAATTACTAATTCAGAGGCAGCAACCTAACAACGGGTTGTCCGATTCATCTGAAAATTTCAGGGCAGATAGATCTTGACCTGATAAACATTTTTATCCCATGTCAGATTTGCTCTCAATGCTTTGGTTTCAGAGATATAAGCCAAAATCTACATTTTACCCCTATGTTCTATTTTTAGCCATGGCGGCCATCTTGGTTAGTTGGCCGAGTCACCGGACACATTTTTTAAACTAGATACCCTAATGATGATTGTGGCCAAGTTTGGTTAAATTTGGCCCAGTAGTTTCAGAGGAGAAGATTTTTGTAAAAGTTTTACGGACGACGGACGACAAGTGATGAGAAAAGCTCACTTGGCCCTTTGGGCCAGGTGAACTAAAAATGGGAAAAAATCTTCATTATAGTTCAATAACTTCAAAATTGAGTCACTGATGATTTGGGTCATTTTGACTCATTTATAGATCTTGTCTTGTTGAACATTTAGGCTATTTATAATTTCTTTCTATTTATTAAAGTTTTCAAGATATAAGGCAAAAACACAAAAAAAAAAGGTAAAAATCCTTATCAAATAGCAATAGCTCCTATAAGGAGTTGCCTGACTTTTTCAGCCATGTTGGCTTATTTGCAGATCTTGTCTTGTTGATCACTTTTCCTCATAAAACATTCTTTCAATCTATTAAAGGTTTCTAAATAATCAGCAAAAACTAAAACAAATGGTAAAATTTGACATTTAAGAGCAATAACTTCTATAAGAAGTTGTCTGACAGTTTTGACTTAAATGGACAGCAGGTAGATCTTAACAATCTAAACAATTTTGCCGTCAGATTTTTTCTATTCATAGCAGTTGTCAAAAAAAATAGACAAAACTCATGTTCTATTTTTGGCCATGATGGCCATGTTGGTTGGCAGATGATGTCATCAAACATATTTTTTAAACAAGATATCCTAATGATGATTGTGGCCAAGATTGGTTAAATTTGGCACATTAGTAAAAGGTAAAGATGACAGACAACAAAGAGGAATAACAAATGACAGCGGACACCTAGTGATGTGAAAAGCTTGCTTGTTCTTTCGGCCAGGTGAGCTAAAAAAGCGCAAAAGTCTGGTCAATTCACATTTTTTTATAATTCATATGAATACTTTTTTAAAGTTCGGGTGTTAAAATTATATTTTTTTTTTAAATATATCTGCAATTGAATTATTCATATCCTTTCAAAAACATGAATTGTGTCATCTAGACTATTTTTAACTCTGAAGTTCTAAAAACATGTATTACCATAGTTATCACAGCTAGATTTTGGACAGATCACTATACCACCATCAGTACGTTTCCCATTTTCTTCGTTCAAGAACCAGTCTAAACTGAATTTCACTTTTATAGTGGTTTGTGTAGAAGGGGGTGAAGATGTTTCTTCTACAAAAGCAGGAATCTGTGGTACTTTAGGAGCTAGAATGAAATAAAAAGATTTAAATGTATCATTACCTTTCATTCTATAGTGCAAAGTATTTGTTGGCAAAGAATTGGCAATGAAATGACCCCTCATCCCCTCCCAATTAAAATCATCTGCGAAATAATTGACTTCAACGGACAAAGCAAAATACACAAACATCAAGGAAATTAAACAATGAACATGGACATAGAGATCATATATAAATCTGTTTTTTCTGACAAATTCATAATGACAGGTAAAAATAAGAAAAAATACCTTCAAAATTTGCAAGCCCTTTCAATATAAAATTGCCATCAAAACCTCAAGATTTAACATATAATACCAACACAAGTCATTGAAGTTTATATACACCGTATATCAGTTTTATTTTCGCGTCAGTTTTTTTTGTGGATTTGATGATAAAATGGGCAGCTTAAATTTTCACTGTGTATAATGTTCGCTGAATGGAAAAATACACAGAAAAAATCACTGTATAGTATTGCTGGAGATGTATTAACAGGTAATCGATTACAAACAACCAATACTACAATCTAAAATCTACATAATTAGGAGAACTTTTGAGTAAAGTAGATTATGTACATTGTGGCATGCTAAAACTGATGGTAGAGTAGACTCTGTATAAATGTGATTTATCTTATTTAAAATTTTACACTATATGCATAATGTTGGGGTAATCACAACAATAAATAGGACGTCCCTAATCAAAATTTTTAGACATGTCACTGATTGCTGTGTTGTCAAAAGGTATGACATGTATGATTTGCAAATTTAATCATTTAAACAGAGAGAAATCTTGGAATATGCATGGAAATTTACGACGGGTCAAATTTTCACGTTTCTTTAAAAGCCGCGAACAAAGTAAAAATTAAACATACGAGAAAAAAAAAACAATAACGGTATATATATCTAGTTGTTTGTTATTAATTTTGTGCTTTATTGTTTGTATTCTCTTGTACTTTAATCCCACATTTAGTATACATAACATGTTCAATAGATTAAAGAGAGACTATCTATCATTAACAGAATGTCTTTCCTCAGAGGTCCACCTTATATTCAAACACAAGACCTTGCATCAAAAATGAAAAATACTGCATTCCTAGCTGTGATAAAATTGAACTGAGATATCTAAATGAAAGCCATGAGGGGTAGATATATACATGAAAAAACATATCAAATTAACTATGCTTATAATTCAGTATGTCACATGAGCATGTCATCTACATATATAATAAGACTCATCAATGGAGCTCAATTAAAGAGTTGTAAAACCAAATCCATTAAACAGTTGCAGAGCGTTTAAGTGCCAGTCTTTGAAAGAATCTTGCAATTTATAAGAAATTCAAAACATGACCGAAAAAAACCCACCGACCTAACCATCCTATTTTGAAGTTACCCTCATCATGAGTTAGAAATGCTAGGTCTTTTGTTTCTGCATGTCTGGTTATTCAAGAAATCTCTACTAAACCTTTAGTTAGAATGATAGCAAATAACGGAGTTAGTTACCCTTATTTGGTAATTTCTATTGCATTTCAACCAAATCATATCTTGAATTACCAGAACAGGAAAAGAAAACAAATGTTATATTCCTGCACCATTATACATTTTGAACTTAAATTGATGTAAACTTGAGTGGGTATTTGTTTGTCATATTTTCACCACCGTCTGATTCTTGGGCAGATTGGCACTTTAAACCTAATAATATATGGTTTACAAATTATCAAATTAAATATACATACGTCCTGGCAAAGCATTATAAACCTCTTCAACTGCAGCTCCATCAGTATTTTCAGTGTTTACAGCATAAACCTGAAAGTATTAGATGAAATTATTATCAAAACTATACACGCAGTCCTTCTTTAAAAGAGCATATTTTATATCTACCCATTATAGCTCACCTATTCCTATTGCAATCACTCAGCCTTTATTTAAAGTACCATATATTCCATTATGCATTATCAGTTTCCCCTAAGGAATATCAAACAATGAATATGCTTAGTTTTATCAGAGACATATAATAAATTGTATTATATGTCTCTGGTTTTATACATATTATCAAAGAAGTAAAATAGTGAGTGGAGATTTTTTTCTTTAAAAAAATAACTTAACAATTTAAATTTTCTTTAGAGTTTTCATTATAGTACTGTCAATTCAGAAATAATTGTGTGAATTTATTATTGCAATTTTCGAAGAATACACAAAAATGCAATATTGATTATTGTGTTTTCAGGTAAATCTGCATACAGATATGTATTAGATATTCGAATGCGAGTTCCTTTTATTGCAATACTCACACATTCGTATTATTCGCAATAGTAAAAACCTTGCAATAATTTCTGAATTTTCAGTAATATATTATCTATGGTTTTGAAAACGGGAGGAATTGTCTTGGGTACAATCTCAACCAAGGGCAGTAGACCTGAGATGAGATGTAGTCGAGAAACTTCCTAGAGTTGAAAGACTACAGATAATCTGTTTATTGCTTTTTTCCTAGGCAAGTCATCACGGTAGTTGCCTTATGACATCATTGTTTTCTCACTCTATGCGACTTGAGAAAATCTTTTCTGAGTTGAAAAACTTGCAAAGAAATTATCATACATAAAGATCAATGCCTAAATTTTGAAAACAGAAATAACCATATCTAATTATTTGGATAAACAAAGGTTTAGGTGTTTTATTATGTTGTTAGGTTGCTGTCTAATAAATACATTACACCTTATATACCTTTCTTTTCATAAATAACTGATTTGGGAATTTTTTTTCACTGATTTATCCCCATGATTTAATATACTGAAGTAGGATTTGGGTATTATATCAAAGCAGATTTCCTTCATTGATATAAAACATGGTTTAGATGATAATGTTGATGATGGCTGGCTGCTTAACTTCCCATGGCAAATTAAGATGCATATTCAGGGACGAGAAGATGTTAATGTAATATAAATATTAACCCTGCTTTGTACTAGACTGACACGCTAAGCTGGAATTTTAACGTGCTAGTTCACAATGCAAGGTAACAGTCGGCAGGAAGACATGTCACCTTACCTGGACTCATAATTCTGAGTTCAAGCCGACCAGTCTTTGCTCTTACTCCTTAATGCCCAATCCAGGTAGTTTTTCAAAATTCCATGAAATTTGGAAAAATCAAATTGATATTTGAAAAATTTTTTAATTTAAAACCAAAAGTTAACAGCAAAAAAAAAAAAAACCAACCATGCCCAATTACTAGATATATATATACAGACAAATATAATTTTCTGCTTCCAAGTTTTGCACTGACAATGACTGGAATGGAATAGTCTATCCACAAGTATATAAAATAATGGAATAGTCTATATTCACAGGTAATCTATTAATTGCTGAGTTCAATATTGATCTACTCAGATTTTTGACAAAACATGAATAATAGCAAATTAACACACCTGATGATTACTTACATATTAAAACGTGTTAAATGAATTTGATTTTTTGAAAAACATTTGACAAACAGTGAGCAACAAGTGGCATGTAGTTTCTTACTAGCATTGATAATATGGAAGACTCCATTTTGGCTGAGGGGGTGTTCTACTTCCACTTCTACCATTACGTTGTTAACTACATTTTTCGAGTTAAATGTTTTGGCATGATTTAAAATAATGCAACAACAATAACCCTAAATAGCAGATATAAACAATGGAGTGGGGAACCCAGATCAACCATTCAGTCTGATGCCCCTCAAGGTCAAGAAAACCCCGCATGCGCTTAATTACATAAACAAACCGTTAGAATTATGTTTTGATTGAGGACAACATGTCAATTGTGGTTCTCCATTTCTTAATGGAATTTCAATATCAGTTTCATAAAATTAACATAATAGGAACAACACCACTTCAGTACTTATCTATCTGAAATATTTTTATTTTCAGAACCTCTCTCGTATCTTAACAAAACAGCGGAATTCCCACTTTGACCTGATGCTAAATATATAAAGCCCTAAATATACATACTGCTAAATACTGATTTTCCATATAGTAAAATAAATGCAAATAAAAAAAGGAGCTATCAGAACATGAGGATTATGAGAGGATAATAAACCAAAAGTTGATTAAATTCAATCTTTTTGTTTGTTTTACTCTTTAACACAAAACAATCTTAAGAATCTGAGGTGTTCCTTATTATAAAGCAAATAAACAGTTGACGTTAAAGCCTTGGAAAGGAGTCCATGGTAAAAGTCTACAGATTGCTTGACAGCAATCGTATCCCAAAAAGCCTCAGATAATTAAATACTGTAAATTCAGAAATTATTGCGATGTTTTTATTACTGCGAAAAATGCGACAGGGTTAAAATCGCAATAATTTAAACTCGCATTTTGAAACTTTTTATATGAATTAAACAGGATTTTTCTCAATATCGCAAAAATTAAAATCGCATTTTAGTCAAAAATGACAAAATCGCAATAATAAATGCACGCAATAATTTCTGAATTTACAGTAGGAAAATTTTAAAACACCCTACTCAAGCCATCAACAGGAGATAAGTTCTAACAAGAATGTGTCCATAGTACACGGATGCCCCCCTCGCACTATCATTTTCTATGTTAGATGGACTGTGAAATTGGGGTCTAAACTTTAATTTGGCATTATAATTAGAAAGATCATATCATAGGGAACATGTGTACTAAGTTTCAAGTTGATTGGACTTCAACTTTATCAAAAACTACCTTGACCAAAAACTTTAATCTGAAGCGGGACAGACTGACGGACAGACGGAGTAACAAACAGACGTACAGACAGAAAAACATAATGCCCCTAGGTGGGGCATAATAAAAATGTCATTCATACCTTTATTTTGTAATATTGCTCTGGTTTTATATTAAATAATATTTCCAAGTTGTCCATGGTTGCATTCACTGTAGAAAACACTGTTGTCTAAAATATATATAAAATTCCTTATAACAGATATCATAAAATTATATTATGGATTTACTCAAAGGTTCATTTAACAAGAATTCAAGTGTTGTTGTGCTTTACATACCCCACTTGTAATTCAAAGTATAGAAAATATGAAGAAGGTGTCTGACAGATCAGAAAACTGCACAGGTTACAACTCATCACTGCTGAGCCCCTGACTTATTATAAATTATTCTCTTTAATGTTTCTGAGAAAAGGTAGATGAATATTTTTAAGTTCATTCAACAAATTAAAATAATTTTAAGTATTGGCTAACAGAAAGATAACATCTGACACATCTCAAAAGGGCACACATGTTATAAATAAACTCATAAACCCAGTTTTTGGTGGGGTTTGTGTTGCTCAGTCTTTAGTTTTCCATGTTGTGTTTTGTGTACTGTCGTTTGCCTGTTGGTCTTTTTCTTTTTAGCCATGGCATTGTCAGTTTATTTTCGACTTGTGAGTTTGAATGTCCCTTTGGTATCTTTTGCCTTTATTTCATAGATACCAATCTTGTATGTCAGACACACCTCTAATCGACAAAAGACTCATTTACAATGCTCCAATCAAAAATTTTTAAGTTAAAAAGGCAAAATAAAGTACGAAGTTGAAGAGCATTGAGGACCCTAATTTCTGAAAGGTTTTGCCAAATGGCTAAGGTAATCTATTCCTGGGGTATAAAATCCTTAGTATTTAGAAACTTCAAAGTTTGGTAAACAGTTAATAAAGTTATAACTGACAAGCTGCTGAGCAAATATAATAGTTTTTGGCAAAATAGTGATGAAATTATTTGTTGGACAAACGAACAGAAGGATGAACAGATGGAGAAGGTGATTGCAACATAGTCCCCACTTTCTGAGTGGGGGGTGTAGTATTAACACTGTATATTTCTTGGACAGTTACTACTAATATATCAAGCATGGTCTCATTGTCCACTAAAAGCAGATTTAAATCATTTATAAAGGTGCATGTTCATGCTAGTAACCTCACCAATGATCATCTTGGTCATTAATAAAAGTTTGTGTTCAAATGAAAATGTTAATAGGGATTCCTAAAGATCTTCCACTAAAACTGAAATTCCTGAAAGGGGACTATAAGAATTATTTTCTTAAAATTCTTATATTCACTTTCCAGAATTTAAGTTTTATTGGTAGATCTTTTATATATCCTATTAATTGTATTCAATACTTAGAGTAAGGGTCATTTCTGACTTTGAAAAACAGTAAAGATACATGTCTATTGTCAAATACCATTTTGTGACCTTTATTTGTATTGTGGGAGGTTGATTGGTAAATTAGGTAGAAACTTATTTACTTCATTTATTCATATTGCTAGATAAAATATCTTATATGTTTTGTTTTATCAGTTTGAGACCGCTCCTTTATATATACTAACCCCTGTTATATTGTGTTCTACCCTATACTCTTTAATCATTCCATTTCTGTTTCTAAGTTCTGGTATACTCCATATTACTTTCATTTTTGTGTGTTCATCGTTTGGTTTATCAACTTTAAAGTTAAGCACTACACCTGGAGCTAAACATTAAGAAATAATATTACATACATGGCTATAAACAAGAAATATTCAAAATATGGTACAGACCACACCATTAACACTAGACTTCTCTTAAAGAATAAGTGTAAAAAAAATACAAACCAAAATGAAAAATACATGGTCCATTTCAAGCCAGACTTAGTAAAGGTATGGCTTTACTTATTTATTTTGATATTTGTTTTATTTGATGAACAAGTTGCAAAATAGTTAAAAACATTGCCTTTCAATATCACAGAAATAAGTATGATGTGTTTTTATCTTTAGAGTTTCACACTTCAGTCAAGAGAAATTGACTAGTTATTAATACATTTGTTTGAATATTTGAATAATGGGTCATGAATCAACAATTAGTAAATTTCCTACATTTGAAAGATCTGCACATATTCAAAATCTGGTTTAATTCAGATCTAACTCTATTTCCACAACTGATAGCTTGACATTTTTATCCTGCTCAACCACGTACTTAGACCGATTCACTTCATGTTAGTTAGCTACTTTTTTAGTGGTTGATCCTGTTTTCATTGAGGGATTTTTTATTATGACAAATCTTTGTTAGTCTATTTAGGTGTTTTATATATATATATATATATACTATTAAATCAATTCACATTTTGTTTACATAATGGAGCAATTTAGAGCTTGAGAGACCATGTTGCCATCTAAATGTAAGTAAGTAAGTAAGTAGATCATTTATTATAGTGACATGTGTAGCATCAATAATATTACATAATAATAATGCAAAGTTACTTTAAAGTACACCTGGCCTGTTGGACCTATAAGTCACTTTAAACTTAATGTCCATATTTTCAATAAGCAATGCGAGATTGTAACTTGTAAAGAAGTTCCTTCCTTTTACAGAAAAATAAATTCAAGTATTTGGCAGTTTGTCTTTGATGAAGTGTCATCAAATTAGCAAATGTTCTATTATCAATAAAATTAATATCAAGCTTCACTGATTCAAATAACAAGTGTCTTAAATTATTGTAAGCTTTACAGTACAGCAAGAAATGTTTTTCATCTTCCACACATCCGTCGTTTCAGAAGGTGCATTTTTATGGATATTATATTTTGTGGTTTTGCTGATCTCTGCATAAAAAGCCTATAGAAAATTTGTAAATTTTGAACATTGGAATTCGTGGTTCACCTGTACCCAAGAAATCCACAAAAATTTGGTATCCAACGAATAATAATGAATCCGCAATATCTTCTTTTATTTATATCAATACATATCATATTCTTACCATCTTGATTTGTCCTAACATTTGGAGACATTTCAGACTGTTCACTATCACCTTTATCTGTGGTGGCAACTACAGTAAATGTATAGTTCCAGTATGCTTCTAGTTTAGAAAAACCAACTGTTTGAGTACCATAACCTAAAAAATGATCCAAAAATCTCTTACTTTTGAAAAATGTCTAGTAATCAAACTGTCAATAAAATGTTTAAACTGCTTTTAACTATTTTGTAATTTCTAAAAACAGTCATACGTGTATTGAAACAACTAGTAATGGTATTCATACTGGTTGGAGTTGAGGGCAACTCATAAAGGTTGAAGGGTAAATGTTACTCTACATTAATGGTAGCCATATTGTATACAGGGAGGCCAAGTAATAGTCATATGGATTAGGGGTTGTCAATTTGCAGTAATGGTAGGCATACTGGTTGTAGTTAAGGGCAACTTAAAACTTAAATACTCAGAGGTTCAAATAGATTTTTTAAAATTCTTTAAAGTAGAAATAGTATTGAAGATTGACAAAAGATGCTACATGTAAGACAGATAGATAAAAGAAGCAATTGCTATTTAGTCTTATTACCTATTTTCAATTCTTTTTTTTTATTTCAGTCAATTTTTTGGCATACACAGTTTTGTAATTCTGTAATATTTTGTGAAATTTATTTAATTTTCTGTTGTTTTAATAACTATTGTCTGGTGCAAATAAAGCTTACAAAATAAAATTTTTGTCCTGAAATAGTCAAAACAATTGTGTACAGGAGATAACTCTTGATATTCACCTCTTACCAAAAACAATGGGTATTTAACAAAAATTTTAAACTGTTGCACAGGAACATGTGACCATGTGTGTAAAAATATTGATTTTTTTTTAAGTAATGATAAATGCTTGTCAGCTTGAAAGATAAATTTTAATGGCAATGCTTTATTGGTGATACATTACATTCGACTGCAAACATTACTTGTTCCATTTCATTATTAATCATTGTAAAAACTGGATTCAGACATAGATAAACCAACTAATTTTGATAAAGCATGTAATACAGAATTTGTCTATAACAAAACATTCTAAAATATGAATATTCACTTTTTGCTGTCAAGGCTATGTTATTGGTTCTTTATTAAGACATTTTAAAAAGCAGTATGACTAATTCACAGTTCAATCATTTGCCTAATAATAATTTTTACAGCCGCTTTTGGTCCTCATTTCTCCATCAAATTATATAAAACTAACTGCAAACATATAAAAATAACATTAATTTTCCATGAGTATGCTTCTTGTGTCATTTACAAATATAAACATTGCTTAATCATGTTAATCAAATTACAATGATAATATATAGGAAAATCATTCTAAGACTTCCAAATAAGTTACCAAATTTTAATCCAGGAATCATTTTATATTAAAGAAAATTTAAATACGAACCTGAAACATTAGAAATTTTGACAAATTTATCCACACCATTTACCACTTCATAGGCTTTAACATGATAAGTTGTAACTCCTGGTCTTGGTGCTGGCTGATTCCATGTTACTGTTATTTCACTTGAACTCACAACTGAGGCAGCTACACTCAAAGGCTTCTGTGGAACTGAATAAAACAAAATATAATAACTGATAAGCATATTCATATTAGAAAAGTCAAAACTCTACTGGCGATATCTACAATAATATATATGGCTGTCAATCTATTCCCATATATCTTTCTTAGATAAAGAAGATGTACTTTGAGCAATTCCTCAAATGATCCCCCAAGTTTTCAATAAAGAGGAGGTTGAGAAGCAACGGATGTGAAACACAATGCACAGTAAACACATGCTCACATGAAGGTTGAATTAGATTTCAGGAAGCCTTTGTTCCTAGTTCAAACTTGACCTCCTTTTTGTCATCAGTAACAACATATTAAAATAGGAATGCTAAGGTTGTAGGAAACAAATGGAACCGCCCATTTGCCTTCTATCCAATATCCAACCCCAAAACATCTGGATTTCCTTTGGAAAAAAGTCAATTAAAAGTTGTCATATTGGTCATTTGCATTTTCAAATTTGTTGGTCTGGTCTTGCTGATCGAATTTTGTCTCAATCTTTTATCATATTTTTCAAGAAAATAGGCCAAAAAACCAAGAGTGCAAATGCAGAATTGTCTTGCCTGCCTCCTTGACCATGATTGATTTTATGTTAAAAGTCTTAAAGATAAAGGTTTGACTACAAGTATCACATAACTTATCAATGATCCATGACAATGAGATTAAGGTCAGATAAACTCTGCCAGACAGATAAGTACACCATACAATCATTCTGTGCACCAAATATAGTTGACCTATTACTTATAGCATCTAACAAACAGACTTAACCAGGAAAATTTAACATTGGCGAATGAACCATGAAAATGAGGTCAAGGTCAGATGAAACATTCCAGACTGTTTACAGTTTAAAGCTATTTACAGTCAAACCTGTATTAAGCAGTCACTCATGGGAAGTATTAATAAACAGCTGCGCCATGATACGCCCATCGTGTTTTCAAAGAATAAAGTTCAATAACTTCTCAATGTTATATCAGAAAATTATAAAAAAAAATAATGGGAGGTTATCTTAATAGATATAATCAGCCACCAAAGTTTAATGAAAACTGCCCAGAGCACTTTAAGGATATCGTCAGAAAACTTGAAAATCACCCCTTTTTTATGATAAAAATCCCACAACTCAGAATCGTGAAATCTAAAATTCATAAAAATCAAATGGGAGCTTACAACTATAGATATAAACAATTTACCAAAGTTGCATGAAAACTGCTGAAAGTATTTTTGAGTTATTGTTTGAAAACTGGAAAATCCCCCTTTTTGTAATGAATAAAAACCCAAAACTCAGAAAAGTAAAATCAAAAATTTATAAAAAACGAAAGGCAGCTCACATCAAAAGAAAAAAACAATTCACCAAAGTTTCATTCAAATTGTTTAAAGCGTTTTTGAGTTAATGTGCGACATGTTCGTGACGGACGGACGGACAACGGTATACCATAATACGTCCCGTAAACGGGCATATAAAAATGACTGCTCAAGAGAGTTAACCTTTTAAAGAGGTTGCAAAAAATTCAGATTACCACAACGCACATGACAGGATCACAGCAAATTGTTTTAGTGATTTTCAATTGGAAGATTTATGTTCCTGGATTAGTGAAATAAATAATGGAGGATTGAATGCTATATTTATTGATGTTCTCTATCTATCTTTGTTTCTGCAAAAAAAAAAATCATAAAATGGGTAAAAATGCTCATTCAGGGGCAATAATTCCTAACAGGGTCAATTGAAAATTTTGGCCATGTTTGACTTATTTGTAGATCTTATTGTGCTTATTAAAGATCTTTTGCTATTTTCAATTTCTCTTTGTCTATAATAATGGTTTCTGCAAAAAACTCCAGTAATGAGTAAAACCAGTCTTTCAAGGGCATCAACTCCTATAAGGGGTCAATTGACAATCCATTGACATTCACTTTCTTGCAGATCTTATTTTGTTGGACATTTTTACTATCAAAAGATTATCACTATCAACTATAGTTTCATAAAAAAATACAAAAAGGGTAAAAGTCATTTAAAAAAGGCTTCTGCCAAGTTGATTTATTTGTAGATCTTAAGTGTTCTAAAATTGAGAATGGAAATGGGGAATGTGTCAAAGAGACAACAACCCGACCATAGAGCAGACAACAGCCGAAGGCCACCAATGAGTCTTCAATGCAGCGAGAAATTCCCGCACCCGGAGGCGTCCTTCAGCTGGCCCCTAAACAAATATTTATACTAGTTCAGTGATAATGGACGTCATACTAAACTCCAAATTATACACAAGAAACTAAAATTAAAAATAATACAAGACTAACAAAGGCCAGAGGCTCCTGACTTAGGACAGGCGCAAAAATGCGGCGGGGTTAAACATGTTTTTTGAGATCTCAACCCTCCCCCTATACCTCTAGCCAATGTAGAAAAAACAAACGTACAACAATACGCACAGTAAAACTCAGTTTAAGAGAAGTCCGAGTCCGATGTCAGAATAGGAAACACAAGAAAATAAACAAAATGACAATAATACATAAATAACAACAGACTACTAGCAGTTACTAACATGCCAGCTCCAGACCTCAACTAAACTGATCGAAAGATTATGTCTTCATCATATGAATATCAGGCACAATCCCTCCTGTTAGGGGTTTAGTATTATACCATCATAAAATATATGAGAAGAACATAACCCGTGTCATGCCAACAACTGGTTTTAGAATAAATATGTTTAATTCCAATGCAAAGACCCTATAAGTGAATCAATATCAAAGCCAAAATATGCAATCTTTAATGACCTGACAACAGTATCGTAACTATATCCCTTCTTAATAAGTCTGTTTAAAGGTTTTGTTAGCTTTTGAGGTGAATACTGACATTTTTGTGCGTTGTAAAGAATATTACCATAAAAGATTGGATGTGAAATACCCGAACGTATAAGATGTCTGCATGTTGAGTTATATTTACGAATGATGTCCTTATACCGATGATAAAATTTAGTAAATGTTTTGACTAGTTTATGATATCGAAAACCCTGGTGTAATAATTTTTCAGTAATACATAAATTTCTCTCGCTAAAATCTAATACGTTGTTACATACACGAGCGAATCGTACAAGTTGAGCTATATAAACACCATAAGATGGTGACAAGGGAACGTCACCATCTAAAAATGGATAATTAACGATAGGAAATGAAAAATCATCTCTTTTATCATAAATTTTTGTATTAAGCTTCCCGTTAATGATATAGATATCAAGATCGAGGAAAGGACAGTGGTCATTGTTAGTATTAGCTTTATTTAAAGTAAGTTCAACAGGATAAATTTCTTTAGTATACATACTGAAGTCGTCATTATTGAGAGCCAATATATCATCCAAATATCTAAAAGTATTGTTAAATTTTTGTATCAGATGTTGTTTCGATGGGACTTTGCTGATTTTAGTCATAAATTGTAACTCATAACAATACAAAAACAGGTCCGCAATAAGTGGTGCACAGTAAGTCCCTATTGGAATTCCGATAACTTGACGATATACGGAATCTCCAAAGCGAACAAAAATGTTATCAAGTAAAATTCAAGGGCAGATATAGTATCAAAGTCTAGTCAATTTAACTGATTAAAATTTCTCTCTCTCTGTTATAGCTTTCAAAATAATAACCAATAAATGGAGAATGTGTCCATGGGAAACAGATGATGCCCCGCTTGCATATAATGTTATAAAAGGGCATTACTCGAGAAGGGTAAAGTGACGCCACCCAAATTCAAATTTGATCTGTATTTTGTGGTAATAAGTTTCATAACATTTGGTCGAGGCAAACTAAAGCTATGAAAACAGAAACCAACTTTTGGACATATGTGCGGACGGACGTTGATGAACAAGGGTAACACTTAATGCTCCCTCTGATGAAGGATTGGGCATAAAAACTGTAAAATATATCAAAAATTGACATTTCAGGGGCAATAACTCCAAATTGGGTTGTCTTTTTAACCTTTTTTGTTGAAACAGTGGCCATGTTTGTTGATTGATCAAATCCCCAGACACAGTTTTTTAAAATAGATACCCAAAGAACATTCGGTTAAAGTTTTGTAACATTTGACCCAGTAGTTATGGAGAAGATTTTTAAAAAAAATATTTAGACACCAGACAACGGTGGACAGGCAACGGACGCCAGATGCCGGAAGATAACAATGGACCCCAATTAATTGCAAAAGCTGACATGGCCTTTTTGGCCAGATGAGCTAATATATTTTTGTAATAACTTTTATTACATTCAATAAATATGTATGAAAAAGAAGGAGAGTCCCAAAATTAAGTCTCTTGCCAAGATTGCGAGTCGACTTCATTGAGTTGAAATAAAAAGCTCCAGGCCAATTTTGCAAGGAAGAGGAATAAATTGCTTCGCCGAGCGCAGCTGGATAAGACCGCAGAGGTCCAACCCTGAACAGTTGGGGCAAAAATGGACACAATATTCGAGCTTGGTACAGGTCTGAATTTGGATTGTAATTAAATATTTGACACATAATAGGTCTCAATAATGACGACTTCAGTATGTATACTAAAGAAATTTATCCTGTTGAACTTACTTTAAATAAAGCTTATACTAACAATGACCACTGCCCTTTCCTCGATCTTGATATCTATATCATTAATGGAAAGCTTAATACTAAAATATATGATAAAAGAGATGATTTTTCATTTCCTATCGTTAATTATCCATTTTTAGATGGTGACTTTCCCTTGTCACCATCTTATGGTGTTTATATAGCTCAACTTGTACGATTCGCTCGTGTATGTAACAATGTTTTAGATTTTAACGAGAGAAATTTATGTATTACTGAAAAATTATTACACCAGGGTTTTCGATATCACAAACTAGTCAAAACATTTACTAAATTTTATCATCGGTATAAGGACATCATTCGTAAATATAGCTCAACATGCAGACTTCTTATACGTTCAGGTATTTCACATCCAATTTTTTATGGAAATATTCTTTATAAAGCACAAAAATGTCAGTATTCACCTCTGAAGCTAACAAAACCTTTAAATAGACTTATTAAGAAGGGATATAGTTACGATACTGTTGTCAGGTCATTAAAGATTGCATATTTTGGCGTTAATATTGATTCAATTATAGGGTCTTTGCATCGGCACTAAACACATTTATTTAAAAACCAGTTGTTGGCATGACACGGGTTATGTTCTTCTCATATATGTTATGATGGTATGATACTAAACCCCTAACGGGAAGGATTGTGCCTGATATTCATATGATGAAGACATAATCTTTCAATCAGTTTAATTGAAGTCTGGAGCTGGCATGTCAGTTAACTGCTAATAGTCTGTTGTTATTTATGTATTATTGTCATTTTGTTTATTTTCTTTGGTTACATCTTCTGACATCAGACTCGGACTTCTCTTGAACTGAATTTTAATGTGCGTATTGTTATGCGTTTACTTTTCTACATTGGCTAGAGGTATAGGGAGAGGGTTGAGATCTCATAAACATGTTTAACCCCGCCGCATTTTTGCGCCTGTCCCAAGTCAGGAGCCTCTAGCCTTTGTTAGTCTTGTATTATTTTTAATTTTAGTTTCTTGTGTACAATTTGGAGTTTAGTATGGCGTTCATTATCACTGAACTAGTATATATATTTGTTTAGGGGCCAGCTGAAGGACGCCTGCGGGTGCGGGGATTTCTCGCTGCATTGAAGACCTGTTGGTGACCTTCTGCTGTTGTCTGTTCTATGGTCAGGTTGTTGTCTCTTTGACACATTCCCCATTTCCATTCTCAATTTTATTCTGACACAGAATAACTGTAGTCAAAGAACTTAGAATTGGTTATATGATTTGAATTTATATTCAATTGTTTGCTTTTGTGCAATACACTATGCTGTTGCGAATTGACCCCCCCCCTCTTTTTGTTGTCGTTTTTTTTACCCCCACGCCCTTTTTTTATTGCCAAAAAAAATTTTTATTTAAGAAATTTTCTTTTTAATTTCTGAAATCTTGAGGAGAAAAATTTCCCTTAAGATATAGTCGTAATCTCAATTCAAATTTCCAATGGAGTTTGCATCCATAAAAACCCATTTAAATACATCATAACAGTATTAAAATAGAAAATGACCTCCATAATCATGGCTAAAATTAATATACCTTCATCAGCATTTAATAGTAACTCCTAAAAATAAATTGACAGCTATCACCCCAAGACAATACAACATTTCTTTATAACAAAACCATTGTAAGGGAGGTAACTCTTAATGTCAAAAAACCCAAACAAATGATATTGATCACAAATAAACAAATTTATTACCACTGAACCCTTTGATACACACTATTATTATATTATATATACTTCCATCACAGTATTTGGTGTTTCTAGAAACAGCTAAAAAATAATTCATACTAGAACTAGCAAACAACTTTACTAGATTTAAAAGCAATGTAAGGGAGGTAATTCAAATATTATCTTTTAAATTTAATGTTAATTAAATCAAACAAAACAAATTTTATAGCCTTAGGGCCAAAATTCGGACCAATTAGAAAATGGGACCAACAACCAAATACACAGTAAAATTCAGCATATGAAAAAAATTGTAATACTAATAGCTAGAAAAATTGTAATACTTATAGCAAAAAGTCCCAACATAAAGAATCAAAGCTTTCTCAAAATCAATAAAGAGCAGTAATCCAAAAATATTGTTCTCTTCTATATACTGTAAAATATCATGAATCAATCAAATGCTATCCCTTATATAATGATTAATGGTCCAATATCTATTTCATTAAGATCCAAAGACCAATACTTAAGCAATTGTCCATTAACCAGGAAACCCTTATTTTTCCCCTTTTTGCCCCAAATTTCTAAACGGTTTGAGCCATAACCCCCAAAGCCAATCCTAACCATCCCTTTGAGGTATGGAAACTTGTGGTACATTTTCAGAGAAATCCATAACCTGTTGCACCAGTTATTGTCTGGAAACCTGGAAACTAGAAAAATGCTTATTTGGGCCCCTTTATGGCCCCTAAATCCTAAACTGTTGGGACCATAACCCCCAAAATCAATCCCAACCTTCCTTTTGTGGTTTCAAACCTTGTGTTTAAATTTCATAGATTTCTATTTATTTATACTAAAGTTATTGTCTGGAAACCAAATGTCTTGGAACGACGCTGATGAATGACGATGATGATGAAGTGATACCAATAAACGACCGGAAATTTTTTTGCGGTCGTATAAAAAAGATTTCACACTCTAATATAAGTCATAAAAGTCTGATAATTTAATAATTACAAAACATTTTGAAAAGTATACTGCAACTACTGAAGGGGGACTTGTTTTGGGATCGATAAAGTTGTGAAATCAAGGACAAGACTTATTGTAATAATCATTTAAATATAAATAAATAAGATAGACTGGCAAGCTTTTTCATAAGCTAAACTTTGTGCAACATTTACCTTCAGATATTGTCTGTACTTCAGATATATGTCTCATTCCATCATTTGCTGCATTATAGGCTGTAATCCACACATCATACTTAGTGTACGGTAATAATTGCTCAACGACATAGCTGATGGTTGTATTTATTTGGTTTTTATTAAGATTTACTGTTTGTTTTTGTTTATCATCTCCACAATCCTTGTGCGTAATGGTATGCTGTAAAACAAATAATATAAATGATTACTTATTAATACATACATTGTCAATACTGTTATCTCTACTCCTTGTCAATTGGAAATGAATTTCACTATCTATTTGATTGCCAGTCTGTTATTGTTGAAAATATAAGAAATTCAAATGCTACCAAAGGTATCCAAGTGTCTAGGAAAATGAAGGGGCTGCTTTCATTTTATAATATTAAAGCTATGAAGAGCTTATCAATCTTTATTCACAAATTAGTTAAAATATTGTAATTATACTTTCTTGAATATATACGATTATGTTAACATTGTTTTGTAGCAACCATAAATATGATTATGTATTTTGCCTCATGTTACACATGTATATATGTGTCTGAGTGTTTAAAAATAAAGTATTATTATTGTTATTGTTGTTATGTTTTTGTGACCATGTTGAAAGTTATTAACTTTCTTAGTCTTTAGTGAATTAATAAAAAGAACTGTAAAATCATTACATTAAGATGTCTGCATCAAAAAAGTCCATTTCTGAACCAGTGTGTTGCATTCCAATTACATGGCATAAAATATTCTTGCTCATTTAATTCAAAATGCTGGGAATCTAAATTCAAATCAGTCAAATTGAGAATATATTTTATTAGTGTTGCTTGCTAGGAAATAAAATTAAACCATTCTAAAAGAAAGTTTATTGTATCTGTTCATATTTAGGTTTTAAAATCGCATATTAAAAACGTATATTTCTGCTGTATGACTTACTGTGTTAGGACAATCAGTACAGAAGAATATGATCTCCACCTGACATATATCATTCACTCTAAGACGTAAACGGTAACCAAATATATCTCCTTGTGGATTATCAGGATAGTTCCATGAAAAAGAAATGTTTCTACTTGACAAAACATTGGTTATTACACTTGTTGGTTCACTTGATGCTGTAAAATAAAAAGGTAAGTATCAATGAATGACAACTTGTTTCAATGTTGATTACCTTTTTTTGGATAGAAATAATGAAAAAAACTCTGCATTTTATTTTCCACATTTAACATGTATCTAATCCAAATGTATCCTTTGTTACTCATTATATTATTACTGTAAATTCAGAAATTATTGCGATTTTTGAAAAATGATCAAAAATGCGATATTAATTATTGTTTTATCAGGAAAATCTGCATACAGATATATGTATCAGATATCAGAATGCGAGTTCATATATATTGCTATATTCACAAAGTCGCATTATTCGCATTAATAAAAACCTCACAATACTTTCTGAATTTACAGTAACTTATATCATGTATATTACTACAACCAATTAATGAAATCTGTTTAAGAGGAATAAACTTAATTATTAAGATGCATGAGAATAAAAAAAAAAATTGTAAGAGCTTACATATTCCAATCCTAACAACAATATACAGTTGGAAGTTAATTAATCCAAGCAAACTTGTGTTAAATCTGATGGTCCAATAACTCTAGAATAAAATAAATGTGGATAGTGTCCACATGTGGACACAGATGATGCCCCCGCTTGCATATCATATAGTTATAAAGGGACATAACTGAAGAACGGTAAAAGTGACGCTACCCAAATTTGAACTTGATCTGAGTTTTGTGGTAATAAGCATTGTGTGTAAGTCTCATAACATTTGGTTGAGGCTAACTTAAGTAAAGAACAGAAACTAAAAATTCAGCAAGTTTTCTATTTGTAAACACGAATAACTCCAAAACGGTTGTGTATAAGTTTTATAACATTTGGTTGAGACAAACTAAAGTTAGAGAACGGAAACGAAAAATTCAGCAATTTTTATGTTTATAAAGGGACATAACTCAAGAAAGGTAAAAGTGTCGCCACCAAATTTCGTACTAAATCTGTATTATGTAGTAATAAGCATTGTGTATAAGTTTCATAACATTTGGTTGAGGCAAACTAAAGTTAGAAAACGGAAACAAAAAATTTGTACCTGATCTTAGTTTTGTGGTAATGAATATTATGTATAGGTTTCATAATGTTTGGTTGGGGCAAACTTAAGTTACAGAATGGAAACTACAAATTTGCAATCTTTCGATTTATAAAGGGGCATAACTCAATAATGGTTAAAAAGACACTACCCAAATTCAACTTGATCTGTGTTTTATCAGTGGAAGTCAAAATTAAACATTGCATTGTATAAAGCATTGATTGTAGTTGATTCAACTATAATCATGGACAAAGGAAGATAACTCCAATTTTAAAAATTACTTGATATTTAGAAGAAAATAAAATTTTTGCAATTTTTACATATATAAAGGGGCATAACTCTAGAACGGTTAAAGTGACGCCACCAAAATTCAAACTTAATCTGTGTTTTGTGGTAATAAGCATTGTGTATAAGTTTCATAACATTTGGTTGAGGCAAACTTAAGTGAGAGAACGGAAACTAAAAATTTTGCAATTTTTCCATTTATAAAGGAGCATAACTCTAGAACGGTTAAAGTGACGCCACCAAAATTCAAACTTGATCTGTGTTTTGTGGTAATAAGCATTGTGTATAAGTTTCATAACATTTGGTTGAGGCAAACTCAAGTTAGAGAACGGAAACCAATTTTGGGACGTACGGACGGACAAGGGTAAAACTTAATGCCCCCACCGCTACGGCTGGGGCATAAAAATTGGAAAACTTTTTAAGTTTAAAGTTACTTTTTCTCTACCAATCCTGTCAATATTTTTATAAATAAAGGTAAATGAGGGTCTGAATGGGGGGTCCTCCAATTCTTTATTCTCAAAATTTTTAAGCTATTTTTCTCTTCTTTTTTTTTATAAATTTTGCTTATCATTCTCTATTCTTTATATTTTAACATCCCATTATTCTCTATTCTTTATTTTTTTTGCCTATTTTTTTCTATTCTTTAATTTTTGGGGCAATTTTTCTGTAGTATTTATTCTGTTAACCCCATCCTAACCCTCATAAATGAATATAACCATACTTGAGTAAGTCTGCGACATGCAAATCCTTCTCTGACCTTTTTCTATTATATGTGGACAGCAGAGACAGACAGTAAACAATAATATAAACAGGTGCATAAAACATAATGGCTCTTCCAGCTATTTGAGTTACCTGACTTTTCAAGAATAACCTATTTCAAATGATAAATATACGTACAAGCTGCTTTTGTTCTACAACACAACTGATTACTATTGCCGCTTGTTTTAATGCTATCAGGTCCATCATTTACTGTTTTCACTATGAAACAATATTGGTTTGCTACAAAAAAATTGTAGATTCATTATAAGATGTTATAATTATTAAGTATATTTTAGTTAATTTCTTTAACAGGTAGTCAAATTACATTTGTGAAAGGTTAAGGTTGCATTTACTATGTACAGGTACAAAAAAATACTGTGAGTTACTCAATGAACAAAACTTTTGTTTCATGATTTTTTTCTAATTTTCTATTTTGGCACTGCACATCACTAATTAAATAATGAACAATCAGCCTTTCATATTTAAAGGGAATAAAATTCTGTCTAAAAAATTAAATCCGAATAAAGTGGCCAGGCGAAATCAATTTTACTGATAGGCTATCTTAAAATTTACTAAATTTTGACCTTAAATGAGATAGAAGGGTATTTAGGTTTCATTGTTATTTAAACTAAGTTGGTTCATTTAGCAGTTAGTCTAACAGATACCTGCAAGCAGAGGTTCAACTTTATATGTGAGAACACTAGTTGATGTATTGATCTGTGATGGAGGAAATGGACCAAAAGTGTCAATCAGGTAGTACTGAATATCTCCATTAGGTAGTGCAGGTGGTTGCCATTTTAAATCTATACTAGTGGATACTATTTCTGCACAATTTTGTATTGTTGGAGGATTTGGTTCTAAAAAAATAAAGTGTCAAAATGTATATACATGTAAATGAAATCTTTATGCTATATTATAACAAACTTACCCCCATGTACTGCGACTTGGCTGGAAGTGCAATGTTCTTCACCTATTGTAGTTTATTCAAAATTCTAACCCAATTGCGATTTGTTTATCAAACCAAACTGTTCAACCGCTAATTTTTTTTAACCAATTGCTGTAGAAAACCACAGTCATCAAAGTGCAAGGTGAAAAAATAAAGCATACTTACAATCCTATTAAACTTAAATTCCACTTCACTGATATCAAAATGAAGCTAAACATTTCTAAATTTATAAAATTGTAGGTATGCTTTATCACCTTGCACTTTGATGACTTGACTTTAGTTTTCTACAGCAATTGGTTAACATTTCTGACCAGTTGAACAGGTTGATTTGATAAAACAAACTGCCATTTGGGCAGAATTTTAATTGAACAGCAATATTAGGAGAGAAATATACTTACAGTCAAGTCACATGCAGAATTAAAAAAAAAATATTCATCTTTTTCCTGGCCCATCAAAACATCATTTCTTTTTACCCGATTATATGGCATGTCTAACATTAAGATAATTTTCAATATCAAAAATATGGTTTCAATCATTCCTAATGAGAAACAAGAGTGAATATATTGAAATGTCATGTCTGTTTAATTGATTAAAAGTGAATTTGTTTTACTTCATATAATATGAATATGTTATAACTTTGTATAATATGAATTTGTAGCTCTTCTAACTTCTGAATTATTAAGGTTTCTCTCATCCTACAATTTTTGTATCATTTCGTATTGGCATAATTCTTATGCTACGTTTGGTTGTAACAAATTTCCTGTTCGTAAAGTTAATATGGAATTGAGAAAGAACTAAGGTTGCAACACCCTCAGGCAAATTTGACCTAGACTGTTTTGGTTGTTTTATTTAGGCAATTTAGTTTTTATATAGTCTCATATGTTTTATACATTGACTTTAAAAACTTTTGGTCATGATTGAGTACCTAAAGAATGTTATTCATGAAACCTCTGTCAAAATGCACATACATTTTTTACTTCTGTCTTTTTTCCTCATGTACTATATACTCATGCAGGACATTGAGAATTAAGTTTACAATGATGTAAAATAGTCACTACTTTGTTACCTTTGGTTACATCTTAATATCTTGATTTTCTCAAAGTTAAAGATTGATGATTTGTTAAATTTATTTCATTTTTTGTTTGTCAGGGCACTTAAACCTAGACATATTCTACAAATACTTGTGTAGTATTGATGACTATACATATATTAACCAGTAACTTTTTTGTATTGGTTAATTTGTGTTTTTGTGTTTCTGTGAAATTCATATTTCACCCGTCTTTTCTTCATATTAATTATTCTAGATCACTTACGTGTAATGACTGTTCTAAAAACCTCTGAATATTCATCACTTATCAATCCATTGCTATGAGCTACCAGTTTCAGTGTATATCTAGTTCCATTATTTGCATTATATATCACACGTTCAGTATTACTGGTGTTCAAAGGAGTTGTAATTAATTCACTAACTGTAACAGTGTACAGAGCAACGGTTCCTGTAGAACTCCACTTAACTGTTATCTGTCCATTGGTTACTAAAAGGTTACTGTCAGCTTTGATTGGTCCTGGAGCTGCAGGTTCTGAAAGACAATATAGGAAAATAATTTGATCATTAAAAAGTGCAACCCACTGGAAACAATTTCTATCCCTGTACTGCACAATCACACACTATCAGATTGACTGTTTCAAGCATACAATGTAATAGCTCGCACTGGCCCTTTGGGTCAGATGAGATAAAAATGGGGAAAAAAATAACCAGATTTCACTTCAACATATCCCTGTTCCCCAATTTGTATACCTATGACAAAGTTCATAATGGAAAAATGCATTCTGCAGATAACAATGGACAGTATACATTTTCTTTGGGATCACATTTTATGGTTATTATCCCCGAAATAAAAGAAAATATTTCAACACAAATAGAGGTGCTTTTATAGTGTAAATTTTAGCAATACTAACTTGTTGCATAACGGATTTCAACATAAGTTGTCTGTTCGTTTGGCCTACTGTTTGTATCCACAGAGATAATTTTAATTGTGTACATGTTACCAGGAGTCAATCCAGTAATATTAGCTATTGATTTCGTGTTGACAGATACAATAGTTCCTGAGTCTACTTGATATTTGAATTCTTCTATGGCACCTGTTGCTGCTGGGGCTATCCACTCTATTTCTAGAAAGGTTTCTGATCTTGTAGTTAGAGCTGGATTCAAAACTTTGAGCTCAATTACTGTAATGTTTAAGAAACACTCTTGTCATATCTTACAATACTATTTCAGAAATTTTATTAATAAACCCTTTCAACAAACCAATCAAAGTTCATTTTCTGGGAGTTGTTTGAAAGTTCAGGTTATTTAATTTTGCATTCAAGATATAAAAGCCACCCTTTTCATCTCTTTAATTTGAAAATCTAAAATTATCATAAATCTATCAAATAAAATGCTAAAATTGTTCAGGTTACATTCATCATTTGATTTAATCAAATATCAGTAATGACATATATTAATTGTGCATAACATATCTGGTTTAAGAACTTCAATTTTTTTGTATATTATGGAAAACGTCTTTTTTTATTCTTATTTGAATCCTTGATCTCAGCACCTTAACCCACAATGTCTTTCTTTTCACACTTCACAGCCTTTTGCATGATAGAATCCTTGGCTGAATCCATTAATATTTAAATAAGTTGTGTTTCAAATTTATGGATTTAGTAGAAAAATAAAAAGATGTGGTATGATTTCTAAGAAGACAACTCTTCTGACACCAGAGACCAAATGACTAAGGGTCTTTATAAGTTTACCCTACTTCTGTCTTTTTGTCAAAACATTTTACAGTGAAATATTGTTGACAATATTCAGGTTATCAGTAATAAAATCAAATAATAATTCATGCTAGACACAGATTTGTTGGAAACTTTCACATGGTCTGGGCTGTAACATATTTTCAAATTTTATACCGAGTGTTAGTGATATAACGCCCCCCTAGAACATGTGAAAATGACAACAATTCTATGACTTGCATAAATTATTTCAATTCTGAAAGGACATGCAAATAAGGTAATTTAAAGAACTGAAGCTAAGATGAATGTGTTTGTGTCTATATGTAATTTTCACCCTTTTAATAAAAGCTAAAAATTTCCAATAAATCTATGGCTTGCATGAATTATTTTCAAATAACCTCCAGACAAAATGTGTTTACTCCTTATAATTCGCAACCCAAACATTTTGTTTTCATTTGCTGCTATTTTTTGGTTAATCCAAAATTGACATGTTGTAACTAAGGAGTGAGCCACCACCTTAACTTGCTGAAATCCATAAATGTGCAAAAAATGCAATACAATAGAAAATAAAACAATTTTTACTTCAAAACTCCATTTTGATGTGATTTTATCCAAAAAAGGAGTATACATGTAACGAAATAAACTTCAGCTTAAGAGTTTTTCTTTTGTGTGATTTCATGTTTTGACATGTAGTTAATGAGCTAAGATCATTCATGGAATTTTATTTTAATTTCATTTTATACATTTTTTTATGCTTTAACATTGTCTTATGCAATAATTCTTGCTTTATCCATTAGAATAGAAACAAGGGTCTGTAGTTTTAATTTAAATTTCAATTCTAACACAGCGAAATCAACATTATAATCATTTTCAAGTGCGTAAGAGACAAAGACTCCGTTTTGCTTTCGGATAACCTCCTTTAGACACAAAATTACATACTGCTGATTTTTTATTGTAAAATCTTTGAAAGCGTAGAAATGATCTATTTGAGTGTAGAGCGCAATTTGAATGCCAAAAATTGTAGAAACTACGCTAAAATTGTAGCGGTAATTAAACAGGTCTTGATCTAGGAGGTTTCTTCTCAATTTTGAAAGACCAGATAAAATTTGGAAGGGCAAGTGAATTTAGAAAAGTATTAGCCCACTTGGCCAGTTAAAACAAAACTTATTTCTATCACTGTTAACTTGCTCTTCCTTAGGTTATAATTTCATGAAAAAACTTAAAGATTTACTTGAAAAGGTTCCAGTTATCATCTGAAAAGATCTTTTGCACAAATTAAGAAAAATTCAAGTTATTTTGACATTGACCTTCCTTGTATTGACCTCAATTTTTCTATCTTCACAAGAAACCATTCACATAATTTTATAAGGCTTGCATAATTTTACTTTTTTCACAATTTTTTGCAATGTCAGGGCAAAATAATGGCTCTTATCATACCTCTTCCTTTGCTTTAAATTCCAAGCCAGTTTCTTAAATTATCAAGTATTAAGTGTACCTTACATCTACTCGGTAAGAATGCTTTTAATCATTTTATATTATTATTTCCCCTATACTTACATTGTTTGCAAATTCCTCCAAGATTATTGTTGTTGCTATCATAGAACGTTCTTTTACAATGACATACAGAACTTTCTGACAATAATCCACATTCAGAGTTAATGTCATTACATTGTACACTGTCAGTACATGCTTCTCCCAAATTCTTTTCTATAAAAAAAAACAGTCTATAACATTTCATATAAACATAACTATTAAAACTTACACAATGTGAATAATATTGATAAGTAACATTTAGTAAACAGTAATATACTATCTGCCATTATATGTAATTTTCCATCTAGTATCCCAAGACTCCCATATCATTCCTATGGTTTTAGCTTTAAGGCCCTGATATGAGTCAACAGATGATAAATGGGAGTATTTAACATGCATAATGCATAATGATCCATTTATCACATATTTTACCCTAAAATATTGGAAAGAGAAAATAGAATAAAATACACTATCACTCATGTTGAATATGTCATTTCTTTCCGGCCACAGTGGGAGTTTACAATAAGGGGGCAAAACGTCTATATGGTCCCCATTCTTTGAAGTTAATTGTCAAACGTTCAAACCGTTGAATACTAGTCAGAGGTCAAAAGTGTTTCACTCCTCCAAAATTACACTACATAATTCATGTAAAAACTCATTTTTGTTGTCAAAAAATTATTTGGTCCAATTAAAACCAGAGGCTCTCAAGATCCTGTGTCACTCACATATGTCTATGTGCATCTTCAACAATTGACTCTCTCCAACATTGTGGATTATAATAGAATTCATGACAAAATTCTCTAATTTGTTGATCTTGTATTGCTGATCATTTTTTGTTTACAGTAAATCTCTCCATAGTTTTAATTTTTGTCTAAAACACAAAAAAGAGAAAAAATGTAATCTAAGGACAGTCACTCCTATAAATAGTCTACTTACAATTTCTACAAAATTTTATTTTATTTGTAGATAGCCTTGCTGATAATTTTATCTTTTATAATTTTCAAGATAACAGGCCCAAACCAGTCAGGGATACAACTCTATAGGGTTATTACTGAAAATATCTTGCATGTGTTACTACAGATACTTTCATGAGTTATCTACTCTTTATTCCTTAAATTTTCTAAATCTGTAGGAACATATGTTTGTTATTTGTTAAATACATCATAAATATTTTAACTTTTAGTGGGCACTTGGGAATTCTTGAAACTTTGCGCAGAAACTAAATACATAGCCTTGATAACTAATTTTCATATTAAGTTAATACATTTTTCATCAACCATGGTAAATCAATGAGACAAGGCTTCTAAGGGTTAAACTTAGCTGTAACTTAGGCATGTAACTTATTATACGAGACACTTGGGAATTACTTGGAATCTTGCGCAGAACCTCATTACATGCTCTGTTCATTATTTCTTACAATAAATTAAAATACATTGTGATTACGCATGATGTATGTCTGAGAAAAGGCTTTGAAGTGATGTAGAGAAGCTGTTATAACACCCTTTAGTTATTACAGGCATATTTTTTCTGTAATAACATAGGTGTACTATGCATGATTGACAAACTATGAACTGTTATATCTTTCTATAGTTTAGTATACATAAAGACAATAATAATATCAATAGAACTTGTGTACATTTTAACAAAACAAATAATGTATATTGGCCCTTTGAAAAATGTAACAT